CAGTCCACATGTGTCTGTCACTGCACCAATGCTGCTGTCAGTGGGTCACATTCGCTGGCATTTATTTTGATGGTAATCTAAGTCAAGAGAACCACAATGCAACTTCTTCAGGGAATGTTGATGGTACGGTAATTACGAAATGGATGTGCTTCTTATGCTGGAATGGGGTTTTCTCGTCGTTTACAGATGTGATTTATCTGCCCTTGTTTAACATTTGAATGTTCAACTGTTGAATGTCAACCTCTTAACCACAACAAACAAGCATGTGTGATCAAACAATGTAATTACAAATAACAAAAAATACTGCACACGACCGTAAGCCTAACATGTGAGCCGCAGTGCATTGATGGACACAACTATTGATGTATGCACAGCCAAGATGGGAGCGAGCTGAAGGGGTTGCCCAACGAGAGCGTTGATGTATGTCTAAAGAGTAACTTAGTTTTTCTAGGCAGAGGATAGTAAAACAAAAACAAAATCTACCAGGCACAGACGAAACACTGTCTGAAGAATAATGTAATGTGGTGGTGAAAACGCCAATATACAAGCGGGGTTGCGAGTCAAGAAAGGTGCAAATTATAGATTGGCCGAGATGCAAGAAGTATGTCTATGCCTGTGTCCACATTGTATGAGGCTTTGCTTCCAGGAATGAGAGACAAAGCACTCGTGTAGGGAAGTCTCCATCAAGGAGAACAGAGACAGGGGAATGAACGTTTCTGCCTTTGGGCAAACCTTGTCCATCAATTATTCAACAGTATGACAGCTTTGGTTTATTGTTTTCATCAAAATGAAAAGTACCAGAAGCAATTTCAAACCGCAAAAATTCAGATCGTATCAACGGGGGGCTCTTAAAACGGAGCGATGGGAATCACCTCTGTCTCACGCCTGCATTGGTTTGTGTGGGGATTGTCAATGCCTTTGTGTGTAGGAATGCGCCCATCCCATGAGACTAAACCTCAAGTCAAGTGACAACTAATTCTAAAATCCTGATGGAGCGACGCCATGTCTGTGGGATGGGTGCAAAATGTATCCCATGTGTGAGACCCCGCTGAAAATATCGCAGTGTCTGTTGACAAAGGTCATTCTTTCTCATAATACATACGTTCAAATATAAACCCCATTGAACATCTGATTACGAGTTTAGCATTTAAATTGCATTAGTATTCATTTGGTATGTAGTTATTTACTTGTTTTTGTAAACCGAGTATTTATGCTCAAAATACATACACAGCACACTGGCGGATATTGATTGATATTCGTTTTGTTTACTGGACTGTATGTTTTATAGGGTGGAACAGTGGAGCAGTGGTTGTCACACTATGCTATGAACCCAGTGACTTGGGTTCAATTCTCGGCATGGCTAACATCAGCGGTGAGTGGAATCTGAACAGGTCCTAGGCGCCTCCCCCCCCCACCCCCCGTATTAAGGGCCCGTTTATATCATATATTACGGGCCCCGCACTCGCTTAATCCGGCACTGCCCCCGTTCACCATTTTGCATTGACACAGTGTGGTGGTCAAGTATGGTGATACAACTCCGACGATCAACATGGTCTGGGGTAGCGTTAATTCATTAGTGGATTGGCAAAGGCTTCTGAATAATGTATCATTTATTAAATGCTGTCTGTTATTTGTTCACTGAAATCCTATCGCCACGAGAGGCACTTAATGCACCTTAATGGGGGGGGGGGGGGGGGAACTTTCATTTAATCAAATTAAGGCACCAAATCGTTGTTTTATATTCATACTTACATGAGGGTTCGTGCCAACAACGTTACACCGCTAGATGGTATCTCTGTTAGCACTGTCCGTGGAATACATTCCGTGGTCCTATGCAGATACAAGTTGACTTTGCACAGCCTCGCCATGTTGTCATAATGGTACTGACCCCAGCAAGGTGATGGGCTGACTCCACACTGACCACGTTTTGATCACATGACCTTGCAAGCACTCGTCCATTGCTTATACCGAGTGAGGTGTCCCAGCCGTGTGTGTGTGAACCGGTTATTGCCATACAAATTATACACATCACTGCTATAATCCTGGTCTAACCTGTAGGCAAGATATCCCAATATCACTCTTGAATTTTCATCTTAGCTGAAAAAGAAACCTTCGTGAAAACTGGTCAGGAACTCAAGGCAAGACCTACGGGCAAAAAGCATTTTCGTGACACAGTTCAATCCGTTGGCGTGTCAAGGCAACGAATCAGACCGAAGTGTTGTGTGCTGGTGATGGTAGCTGTCAATGCCACGTGGCCTGTGTCACTCCGCGTTGGTGTTCTGTATACGGCACCGTGACATCTTCTTGTCCACACATTTCAGTTGACAGCCGTTACGTTAAGTCTCTTTTGATTTCCTGTCAATTAGCAACTGACGACACGCTTTAATCTTGGCTAGTTTCTTGTTAATTGAAAATAAAAATTGCACTGATTGGCTGTGATTGAAACATAATGCGTCTACTGACATTCTCATTTAAGTCAAATGACATTCATACAAAAAATATTGTATTTCATACTCTTAGTGTTAGCTAATGCAACCCTGTATATTTTTTTTCATCTTTGTATGTGAGTCTACGTTACTTGTGTTAGATGTCCCCCGTAAGAACTTCCAATGCACTGCATTCTCCAAAGCACCTCTTGCATTTTAATCTCAGCTGCAAAACAACTACTACTCAAAACAATGTTCCATGACCAATTAAACCTTTTGACAAACTTTTACGCCAAAAAAATACCCTGATCATGGTATTACTCTAGTTTCAAAAACGACAGTTTAAATATTCATTACTTTTGGGTGTTTCTTAACTGTACAATTTCTATATTAATAAAGAATTAAAGCTTTCGTGACTACATAAATACCTCATTGGTTATTTCGGTAAAGTCACGTATGTAGAAATACCACAAAATTATATTAAAACAAATCAATCACGACGTTTCGACTGCAACACAAGCGATCTTCATCAGGTGTAAAAAACAAATAGCGAGGGAGCATACAGGGTGACACCAACGCAACACATAGAGAGCGTTAAACTGCACGGAGGTAAATACAACAAGAAGATAAGAGACGAGAATTCAACAAACCTAAGAAAAAATTACGTGATGCAAAACCAGTCGGCCAACGACACAGTTAGACACTTGCCTAGCACTCTTCTGAAATTCGTGGTCCGCCAGGCAAGTGTCTAACTGTGTCGTTGGCCGACTGGTTTTGCATCACGTAATTTTTTCTTAGGTTTGTTGAATTCTCGTCTCTCATCTTCTTGTTGTATTTACCTCCGTGCAATTTAACGCTCTCTATGTGTTGCGTTGATGTCACCCTATATGCTCCCTCGCTATTTGTTTTTTACACCTGAAGATCGCTTGTGTTGCGGTCGAAACGTCGTGATTGATTTGTTTCAATATAATTTTGTGGTATTTCTACATACATTTCTAAATTCTCCAATTAACTGTCGCTCCCATCGCGAGTAATGAAGAGTGCACGATAGTTGTGACCTCGTTTCCTGTCGCGTACGTTCCACGTCAGGTGGAAGCTCTGAACGTTTGTTGTGTAAATCCCCAGATACCAAATCACGTCACAACGGCGCTGCACTCTGGTGGGCCATAACCATAGCACACATTGCAACTCCAGAAACATAATTCTTCGATATCAAAAACATATCGCTGTGTATACCGCGATATGGATTTGAAAGTAAACTGCTCTCGGTGCAGTTGCACGACGTGTTAAAGCCTACATGTTAAACTGCACTTGTGTTCTCTATACATTAAAGGGAAGTGCAATTGTATCGCATTGTATTCTGTTTGACCCATGCATGGCATAAGGCACAGTCAAACCTTACAATGTACAAAACTACAAATTCAATGTGCTGTATTGTTGCAGACGTTTTTTGGTAATAGTCAAGGTGTTATGTGTTGTACTAAAATACAAATATTAGTATTATTATGCTTCATTATCCAGAAAAGTACCACCGAGTATGAACTCTTTTTCAGCAGGGTCCTGCCAAGTTTTCGCAGTAGGGGGCAATGCTGCTCCTCTGTGTAATCCCAAATGAGTAATTTGCAGGAATTTATTTTGAGCATTGGGATGTTTGGTCAATACCAGTCACGTACAAATAATGCTTTTTTTTCTAGTTACGGGAAGAAACCGGAGATGCCGGAGGAAACCTAAGCAGAACAAGGGGAAAGCAATCATTGGAAGGATTTGATCAACCATTTCGGGTCTTAATTGATTGTTCACGCTTATGGTGGCTTTCAGACCGCATTCCATTCTCTTCGTCTCCCCCCTCCTCTTTTCCGAACACAGATGGACTCGTCCATTTGAATAACTGCCAAATCGCTCTCCGTGGTGCTAACGTAAAAAAAAACGCCACTTTTTTCAAATTTTCTTGCTGTGGTTTTCATATCTGATGATGATTGCTTGTGTTGCAGTCGAAACGTCGTTAGAATTGTATTGTTTTATATTTTTATTATTTTATTGTTTCCCTTCTACGTGACTTTACCGAAAGACCCAAGAATAAGGGGAAAGCATATAATGTCCACACGAGAGAGACACCCGAGTCGTGAATCAAAAGCAGAGCCTTCTTGCTGCGAGGCACTCAGCGTTACCACTGTCCACCAGGAAACCCTCAGGGCCATCCGATCCCATTAATAAGAGGGTTAGGTTTAGGTTTTAACAATGCCATCTACTGGCCACCTCACAGCCCCATACATACGGCACCTGCCAGTGGTCACCGCAAGCACTCATCTCGACTCAATCCTCCTTAGCTTCCGAGATCTGCCGAGATTGGACACATTTTTCGTAATGTAGTAAATCGCAATGTAATTACTTTGGACAAATGTGGAAACATTCTAAAAATATATAAAATACAATGTAAAATGCTTCGCCATGTGTCTGTAACTTAGGAATACAATTGTGAATTAGACGATGAAGCATATTTAAAAATACATAAAATCAAAACGCATTCATAATTTACAACGTGAAATAAAGATGAATAAGGAGATGAGACAAGACCGCAGTGTTGTTATGCTTGTATTGGAAAAATCAACAACATACCACGCATAAGACTGTAGCTAGCAACAAAAATATAAACACCTTAATTTTTGAAGTAATCAATAAATACAAACACTGAGCGTACCCCCAACATGGACAGCGCCTCGAAACCAGGATCACCTTTTAAAAGCTTCAAAAAATTCTAGTGCAATGAAATGTACAAACTTGTCAAGTTGAATAAAAATTCTAACCAGAAACTAAACACAGACGACACAACACGACAGTATGAGTGGCATTTATGCAAAAAAAAACAGGAACATGGCCAGGTTCACTCAGGTTCACTTGGTGACAATGGAACTCCAGGATTATACTGCCCGGAAAGGCATGAAAAACTGGACAGTAGCAATTCACCCTCCTAGAGATTCAATTAATTATTACAAATTTGGGGTCGTGATTTGATTGAATATTTTACGTCTCATTTTTACTGCCTCGTTTATACTGTTTCTCACTTTTTTTGTCACATTTGCAGTTTTGTTCACTCCATCACCCTAAATGTAATATTAGTAAAAAACAGCATTTTTATATAATAGGCGTTAAGTGTATAAAAACAATTATTGCCTCGCACAATGCGACAAATGTATCATGAGCGTGAGAATATATTTCAAGACATGCCAACTAAAGCCCTTTTTCTGTTTTACAACAACCACCATTCACGTTGCATCTGCCCCTTTGTCAACAGCGACGGTCGTTGAGCAAAAATTGGCCTCCTTTGTGGAAGGAAAAGAAAAGCCAGGTAAATATAAATACATTTTTTTTTACCAACTGTGCTGCTGGACCATGCAGAGATAATCCATGGAAGTGTAATTAGAGTACCCACTGTGACTGCGAATAATCAAAAGTTTTCACGAGGAGGCCTGCTATGATTTTCGTAATGAATGCAACGTCTGTTGATGATTATATTAATGTAGGGCATAACAAAAAGTCTATTTATACATTTGGAGTATCGGTTTTGAGTCACCATGGAAATACCCAACGGTAAATATTTGTACTGTGCTGTTATGTTGGCCAACTCTGGGGTCTAAACCCTTAATAATTGACCGCTGAAACTGGCCACCATTCCGGCCACCACGGAGGTTATGAGTCAATAAGTAACAGCAAACTGTGACCTGAGAACCGTGTATCCTGGAAAACGTAGTCCCAGTGAAATCCCGGAAGAGTGCAGCGATTGGAATATTAAGGTGCGATGCATGGTTTTGTTGAAAATCCTTTCACGTAATTTGTGCATAACGTAATCTATAAAGTATTAACCAAAAGGGTCATCGGCGTTCGTATTGTGGTTATGATCTCAACAGTAACGCTAAAGGCACACTCCCAATCATATGTTAAAGAATAAGGAGACTTTAATGAGAATATCCTGATCTCTTGAGTTCTCACCTCGCTTAACAAGATACACTTTAATCTATACTGTATTTTACAAGTTGTTTTAAAACACACACATACAACTGAGTGCAACACCTATAAAATGGGACAAGCTTCCTTGGCACGAACTTAACTCGAAAACACTTCGATGTAAATTACAAAAATATTACCCCTCCCGATCTCACCATTGTTCTCCAGCAGAAGACCCAAACTGGCCTCTGTGGTTGGCTACGTTTTTCCCTTGGCTCGGGGCTCCTTGACCAATTGGTTAATTTCACTCAGGCAGCATGCAAATCCACAGTTACGCAATAACACTTTGGCATTCTCTCTGGCAAGGTCAAATACAAACTTGAAGAAAACTTAAATTTCAAGCTATGATATAGAAATTTTAATTCATATGCTCTCCACTTTAGTAACCAAGGTGTTCTTCAAGAAACCAAAAGTCAATCTCTGTTGAAAGGGAGGTCATTCCTTCACTGCTGCTGTAGTCTGGAATTGCTTCTCTCCCAGCCATCCGTGTTGCCGGTTTCATCCATCTGTCTCCATCTGTTGAGGTCTATGCTCAATATCGTCCCCCCCCCCCCCATCTGTACATATATATTTATACGTTTTCCCTGTTCCAAGTCTTGGCCTACAATGCACATTTTCTACTTTTTAACAACTTCTTGTGAGAGCTGCATTTATATGCTGTATAAACCTTAATTATATATGTATTTAGCAATTTTCACAGGTGATGGTCCTGAGTGCTCGATTTGGCTGTGCTGTTGAGGAACCATCAAGGCTGTGCAGCAATGGGATGTGGGAGTGGATGAATGAGTTTGTGCCAATGCCCTTTGACCTTATGGGGTCCTGAGTGAGTTCTCCCACCGTCGCTGGGGAGGTGGAGCTCACGTGTGCACATTTTTTAGGAGGCCAGCCCCCTTCCTTTGTGAGCGTGACCCTTGACTCCGAATCACAAACGCTCACAAAAACACAGTGATGCATTACACTATCGGGTCTCCAACAATTCTATATGTACATATATTTAAGAAAATAGCCCTCCCCTTCCTAATTATTTTGCCACTTAAGCGGCAAGCAAACCCGGCTGCAGTGAAGCCAATTCAGCAGCCCAAAGGCAGGGGCGGAGCCAGGGGGGGGGGGGGGGGACAGGGGTGACATTCTGCGTTATAAGTGTACGACACTCGGTCTGGCGGACTCCGTGCAACTGCATTGTCAGAGTGTGTCCGCCAACCGATGGCGTCTGGTTCAACAGCCTGACTCTCTAATCATTCTTGAAATAAAAATTTGTTGAATGTCACCCCGGCCTGAAATCCTGGCTCCGCTCCTGCCCAAAGGTGTTCAGAAATCGTGGGACGTGCCCCGGGTAACCGCTGAGCAGTCATAGCACCGGGCCTGAATATTATTTTTTTCGATATTTCATTAGCGCGCGTGCAGCGACAGCAAGGCAGGCCCAAAAGTCAGCACTAACTGAAACCGGCAGCACCAGCAGAAAGCACGGTGTGGCTTAAAACCTCCATCATTGTTTTACATGCCCATTTTTTTTTTTACAAATAAAGAAAAAAACACGTATATCTGAAAATCTATTTTTTGATCTAACAGAGAACCGGATGACTTAACTGCAGCCTTCAGGCAGTTCTGAGGCTTTTTCTTATATTCATTCTTGTGTGTTTTATAGGCTTGCTCGCAGGCTGCTGCTGTCCCCTGGCTCGCAGGCAGGCAGCAGTGTGCTCTACTCTTCGATGGTGTTCATATCTGACAGCGGGTTGGTCTCGCCACCTTCTGGGCCTGCATCCTGCAGCAGCTGCTTGTAGCGCCTTTGGAAAAATCCCAGCTGCAAATGAATTCAGAGAAGAAGAAGAAAAACACACACATTAGAGAGGCGTAACTAATGCATCACAAGGGCTTTAGAGATTGTTAGTACTCTTTATGTAGTGTACATTGATGATTTGCATTTTTAAGAGCTGTTGTGTAAATTGTGTTTCGTGCCTTTCTGGATTCTGCCAACAGCAGACGTATTAAACATTTAGGAAAATTTGGTGATTAAAACAGTATCTTTAAAATAAAAAAAAATATCCAAACTTCCCAGTTGTGTGTCATGTGGATTTTGCATTGTTCACCTAAATCTATACAAACTGCAATAAAAAGAGACATCAGATTAAGAATGTTTATTAAGAACCACGTTTAAAAAAAAAAAAAACACTGGATAAATATTACAAAGGTTTTTTAGTGAAATAATCTTGAGTTATTCATCCAGAAGAGGCTCGCCAAGTCCCAAGACTCCTTTTCAGGAGAATTCTGCAAATTGTGTTTGGCCAATGAAATTTGAAATGATGTTTTGAATAGCTGGAAAAACCCCACTCATATGAGGGGATAACATTCAATGGGCCGCATACAAGAGTTTCATAATAGATTAGAAAAAAAACATTCTGGGTGGCTTCAAGCCTGGATTCCTGTCTGCCTGCCTGGCGTGCCAGGCAGGCATGCCCGGTGATGACGTCACCGCACAAATCTGCGTGATGACATCACCTACACCCCTTAGCATTGAGCTGGGTTCGTACGTTGTGCTGACATCACAACTGCCCCTACCCTTCACCCTGCCTCCACCTCGGATGTGGATCTTTTACAAATGCGACCGAGGAGAGAGAGTGAAATGAGGGAGGGAGATAGTGGAGCAAGACAAGGCTCTATATAAGATTACAAGTTTTGCTGGCAGGCTGGGACAGATGGTCACATGCAAAGGACGTGTAGGTTGTTTGTAGGAAATACACGTAAAATATTTACTGAACGTGGATGCTGAAATCATATATACTGCCAGGCAGGATTCAGGGTGACAGGCTGTAGAGAAAGCAGACATCACCTTCCAGAGGCCAAAGATGAGCAGAGCCAGCAGCAGGAGACCGCCAATGATGCTCCCAATGATGATTCCGACCGGAACTTCACCGTTTTCCAGCCTCGTGACCTCCAGCTCCACCTAGCAGCGACAGTAACAGTGGTTCAAGACCACATGGTACCAGGTGTCTATTGCTACATTTCCACTGCTGTTAAAACTCAGACCTTAGCAAATATAGGCAAGCAATCATAATTTTCTACCACTTTAACAAAATGAAACATATGTTTAGATAAGGTTTGTTTTGCCAAGTTTTCTTCTGAATTAAAACAAATGGCCCAAAGTTGACCTTAGTGAGAAATGCCAAAACAGTAACGGTGCGCGTCTCTATTCCACGTTGACCTGTGTTGTGATGACTTCCCCAGGGTAGCCCGGCTAAAAGCAAAGTGAGCTACAGAGCCCACAAGATTTGGGACACACAGCCAGGCTTGGTACGAGCTTGGCCGAGCAAGGCTACCATGGAAATACGAGGCTCACCACTCAGGTCCGGTTTATGAACTCGGCTAGCCCACTTTTAACAAGTCATGGGAACGAGGCAAAGGTTACATCTTTGCTCTCTTGTGGCTGAGTCTTATTATGCATCATTTCTGACATGAACCATACACTCTAATCATTGAACAGCGAGTGCAATGTGTGAAATTGAGATTAGCTTGTCACCGCACGTCGAGGCCTGAACTTTTCATCATCCATGATCAAGTCTTGTTTCAACTTTTTATTAGTTTTTGTACTCAACAGTGGCCAGTGCAGTTTATGTGCTGCTGTGCATGTTGAAATGAGCACAATTCTATTCTTGAGGAATGTGGATGGATGTAAGGAAGATGCTTGTTTTCAAATGTGTGGGCTATGTGACTCTGTGAGTAGGGTGTTTATGATGTTTTATTGATGTGGAGTGGTCTATGACAATTCTATTTTGAAAGGCGCTATGTTAAATAAAGTTTGATTGATTGATTTGAATGTTGTTGCAGGTTCAATTAAATTTCAGTTTAACTAAATGACAATTTAAGAGGGGTATTTCGATTGCATAACCCTGGATTGACAAATAAGTTATGGTACTGTTCACTCGGCAGTATAATTACTTTAAGCATCACCAAAAGCCTTAACGACAGATTAACTCAATAATCTTGCGCAGGTGTTTTAGGTCATCTCGTTTGCGCATTTACTGCAAAATAGTGAAATCTGAGCTGAGTGCAGCCAGAAAACATATCCAAAAGAAGGTCATAAAATGTATTATAGTGACATGGCCACGTGGCGATTTTGAAGAAATAACCGTTGAGTAAGTCTTCGCGGTGTGTGTCACGTGCTGCAGCCAGGTGGCTGTGATTGGTTGATGTGTGCACGCGGACTAGGCCTACATTGTTTGAAATGCACACGTGTGCGAGATGCGTTATCGGCATACAAAAGTGAGGTGAGAGGGGACAGTGATAGAACACGGCACACACACATTGCACCTCCGATTATCACGGGTGGCTATGTACGGTGCGAAAGAAGTTCAACATACATGCATACATAACGACGCGCAGATGTTGCGTGCTTGCTGCTTACCGTCCTCTCTTCGCTGCCCTTTGGAATTAATAAAAATGAGGAAGGGCCCAACTCCAGCCTCCCACGGGACACCAACTTCACAGATTTAAACTTGGCCTTCAAAGAGAAGTCACGCGAACCGACATTCATCATTGAAACACTCACCACCTATTTCATGGTATTTAAAACAGGAGCAGTGGAGTGGTTGGAGCATTTTGCTATGAAACCAGTGACTCGAGTTCAATTGGCAGCTGTGGCCAACACCAATGGCGAGTGAGGAGCTGAACCGGTCCATTGCCCCACCAACCCGCAATTGGGTCCAAAATCCCATGACTGGCACTGTCTTCATCCAGCAGTGGATTGACAAAAGGCTGTAAATTATTCATTATTCATTATTTATTTTAATCGGTCATATTCCACAGCCAGCAGAGCATACCTCTAAGGCACCCTCTGCTGTCAAGTTGTACATTGCAGACTCGGTGACAATGAAGACTGTTTCAGTCCTGTATAACATACTCAAAAGAGTATGTTTCAGTCCTGTATAACAAATGGAAATAAACGCATCTTTTATATTTGTTTTAAATCTTAATTTCAATAACATGGTGGCATATTTTGATTTTTAAAAATTGATATTGACTTTTTACTTTTTCATCCTTAAAATGTAGTTCGGTTATAGAGGGCTATTCGACTAATTATTGCTATTCCTGGAAAATATTATGTCCATCTGTCCATCCATCAGTGAGGCTTTCCACCACAGCTCTTCCCATCATCCAGGTCTCTCATACCCCTTTTCCACTGGCACATCTGAGCCATGCTAGTTCGGGGCCGGCCTCCAGGCTACGAGTGGTTTTCCACTGCCTATTGGCTGAGCCAAGCCAGAACCAAACTGTTAAACAATGACATCGTACGACATTTGAATCTCGCTCAGGGCCAAGCAGAGTCACGGGTGGCGTTAATATTTTTTGTCGTGCACTGCAGCTCGACTTATTCACTGCATGTGAAGTCAGTAGCACGACTCAGCCTCTGCAGTGGAGAAATAATCTGGTACCTCCTGAGCCTCACTGGGTTGGGCTGGGCTGGATCAACATGGCCCTGGCTCGGCACGGCACAGCTGTGCAGTGGAAAAGAGGCTTGAAGATCTTACCGTGGCGAAGGTGGTGTTCCAGAACCGGGACGTGACAGTGACCGATGCATCCTTGCCTTCGTCCAGCCGGCCGAGCGTGCACGTGAACACAGAGCACTGGACATCTGGACATGTCTGTGAGCAGCAGAGCAGTGGCCATCAGAGCACTCGCACCGTCGCCGTGGGAGGCCCGTCGATATTAAGTGTTTATTGTGCACGGGGAAAAAGGTAGAAAAATTATGTGTAATATATACTTATTTATATACATATTGAATAACGACACACGACTGTGTGAATCACACGACTGTGTGAATCACACGACTGTGTGATGGGTGGGTGAATCGGTGGGTGGGTCAGTTCGTTGGTTGGGATGGGTGTGTGGGTAGTGGTGAAAGTGAGCCTGGAGGTCGATGGGATTGCAGGCCAGTGAGCAAACCAGCTCAAGTGTCTCGATCGTTGCTGGGGCCTCACCAGTTTCTCCACGTTAGACAGGTCCTCTGTGGTTTGCTGCACCTCGTACTGATGCTTGGCGATGTTCAGGGGATCAACGATGCCAGTGGTGTCACACTTCATCATCTCCGGCTGCCAGAGGCAATGAAGGAAGTCAGCACACGTGTATATGGCACTTCCAAGCGTGCTGCACAGACTGGCGCCACGCGCACGCGCATGCTAAGAGCATGACGGAACGCAGCGCATCTCCCTTAGAAGTAGCGTTGTCGCAATGTACTATATTTTTTCACAATATGATACCATGTTCGTTTTCATGATATGAAGATTACGTCAATATGGTTATCCATATGTTATCAATCATTGCGAATTTACAATCTATAATGCGAGGAATGTATAGGCCATCAGTTACACGCGAAAACAACATTAATTGGATTTACTACGAAAACAACGATGTGAAATAACCTCCGAGACAACAATGAATTTGTTAAATGTTTTGCTCATCGCTAATTTAACTGGTAACGTAGATGTTTGACCATCGTGTTTGTTATTTCATGCACGTTTCGTCAGGAAAAAAAATATTTTTAAAAATGTAATGAGCGACGACAATCGCAACGTAACGAAGCAATTTTGATTTGCCAGTGAGCACAGGGACACACCGGGGAAGAGTGAACGTTGGTCACGTAGAGCAGGCGGTTTTTCTGTGCGGTGAACATCGGCAGGGAGATCTTGAGTTTAATTTCTTCCGGAAGAGGGAATCCAAATTTCTGGACCTGTTAAAGGCAGGAGAAAAGTGGTGAACTTGAGGCCAAACATTCTTTACAGATGACTTCCACTCAAATATGAATCCAATCAATTCCGTGTGTTCCGTTCATTTGTTTATATTTTTGTGAAGGTAATATGTTTTGGCAATTGGGTTAAGTCAATTTTAGAACACTCGACAATTCATGGAATTTGTTATTTCCCAATTCACAATATGACAAATTGTGACAATTATCACAATTTCGGACTATGGTTGGAATCACATAATTAGTAGCCTTTCGTCTCATTTTAACCACCTCATTTGTATTGTTCATAGATATTTTTGTTACTAATTTGTACAATTGCATTTGCTGCATGAGCATAAATGTAACTTTAATGAATCGTTTGAAAATGACCATTTTATCTAGGTACGAGTCTATGCATGTATTGCCAAAATAAGAATCGATTTTAATTGTGGAATCAATTAATCGTTAAATGTATATCAAAAATACTTGTTTAGTGGTGAGAAAGAAACATAAAACTTGTATTTTAAAGATAGGTATGATTTCATGGCATTTACCACCACTTCACCTTGAAAGTGTATTTCAATTCAGGACCGATGTCATCCAACCCCTTAATGATGTCCAGTCTTTGTGGTTTGTCATTCACCTCCAGCTGTGCGAGGTTAGAGTCCCTGAGACACGAGAGACAAAAAACTAAAATAAACCCTACACACACACACGATCCTAAAACCACTCACCAAGATCACACAAGACACTCACTCGATCCTACAACCACTCGGCAAGACCACACAAGACACTCACTCGATCCTACAACCACTCGGCAAGACCACACAAGACACTCACTCAATCCTACAACCACTCGGCAAGATCACACACGACACTCACTCGATCCTACAACCACTCGGCAAGATCGCACAAGACACTCACTCGATCCTACAACCACTCGGCAAGACCACACAAGACACTCACTCGATCCTACAACCACTCGGCAAGACCACACAAGACACTCACTCAATCCTACAACCACTCGGCAAGACCACACAAGACACTCACTCGATCCTACAACCACTCGGCAAGACCACACAAGACACTCACTCGATCCTACAACCACTCGGCAAGACCACACAAGACACTCACTCGATCCTACAACCACTCGGCAAGATCACACACGGCGCTCGCCCGATCCGACACGTGCGCTCAAAAATCTCGCATGCAAAGTTCATTCGGTTGTACCTGAACAAGATGATGTCGGCTTCGTAGTAAAGGGGGACAGAGATGCGTGCGGAGTTGTTCTCCAGCTGCTGGGCCGTCTCCTCGCTGTCACTGCGTCACCAGCGTGCACGTGCATGGCATGACATTTATTGCTACGTTTCATCTTGAATGTTTATTTAAACGTGTGTAATATTTCCTTATGCAATGTCGTTGCTCATTCTTCTTTAGTGTATGGCCAATAACTAAAATAGATGCTAATAGTGCTACAATTGTGTGCTATATTGCCAATAAATAATGTCAATATGAAACATACAGTACATGTTAACTGGCTATGTAATGCATCGGTGACAATTAAACAAACATTAAGGATCAAACATGGCAACAAATGTCATGCCGTGAACGTGCACAGCAGCGAATGCGATTGTCCCACAGCCAAAGCCAGCAACGTGCAGTTGTTTTTGTGAATATCATCATCACCCAACACCTATCCACTGCTGGATGAGGGCTTCTCGACTGTGTACAACACAAAAATACTCAAGTGCTGTGACTGTCAGACTGACCCAGAGACAAACAAGTTTCTTATAACAAAGATCAGGACTCACACCTTTTCACTTCCGCGGAGAACGAAGCTGTGCTCATGATATTTTTGCGGCTGAACTCAAATATAAACCGTATCGTCATCTGTAAATTGATGTAAGAAAAAAAACACAAATTAAACACGTGAAAAAAGAACAAACTCCAAAAAAATTCGTATTTACAAACCTGTGTTGTCCGTAAAAGAAATCGCCAAACATTGGCAACGTTGCTAAATTATATTATCAACTAAATAAAATTGCAACATCGCCCCCTACTGTGATGCTTGAGATCGAGTGAGTCTTGAGATTCGGGAAGGATTTTCTGGTCGAAGCAAATGTTAAATGAAGAAGGAGGGGGAACCAACAGGGGAAACACCAACAAACCTTGGCGCTCGCTCTGAACACCGGGAATCCGATCTTGCAGAGCTGTGAGTGCGGATGGTCCTTGTGCACTGTGCAGTCGACGCTCACATCCCCGTCCTGCGAAAAGCGAAATTCCATCAGCAACCGACAGTAACGTTACCACGGGTGAGTAGGGAAGCCACCTGTACTGGTTTTCAGAGGATCATCCTCTTTTTCAGAAATCTATAAGTTTTCCCAGGACATTAAAAGTCCAATTTTTTTTGTCAGTTTTGAAACGATAAAACACCGTTAAAGACTTATAGTTATTGCGAGATATTATTCTGCCCATTATGTCCTAGGTTTGTGTTCCTCTGAGGTGGCAACCCTAGAAAATGAGCCCCGAGTGTGGACACAGAGATTCGCTTAAATTACTTCAGTAGTAGTTCTGTGATGTAATTTTTCGGCCTGAAAACCCAATATGTTTATGCGATAAAACATATTTTGTATTTATATGAGGAGAGACAGGATGGAGTTCTGTTCATATCCATCATGTCAACTGCTGCACCAGGAGATTGAACTGGCAACGTCTGGATTCACAGTCCAGTGGCCTTACCGTTCTACCATGACAGAATGCCATGTCTAACATAGCGCAGGTATTTCCTGGAGTGGCGGTTGGGTGTAGAGGAAGTGGAGATTTAGTTTGATCGGCAGGACCTTCGTGTTATTATGACCTTTTATCGGTCCCGAGAGGCTCTCCTCCTGGACTCATCCCAAACTCTGTTTCGCCAGATGAGTGCCCCACTTAGGAATTTCAGTTGAGTTTAACCTTCCCACCTCCGTGTCGATGTTGCGGAGTTCCTGGTTTGGTGAGTAGGTGAAGTTGAGTCGGGTGTTGTAGGCATTCTCTCTGCGGTTCTCCAGTGTGATAGACACCACGTGCTTCTTCCTCTCCGACCTCACCACGTACGGAGACTCCCTGCGGCGGGATTTCACATTAACTACTACGGCCATCCGTTATTCACAGCACAGACTGCAACTCCGTCAGTATGACGCAAATATAGTTTGAATCGATAAACAAACGCGCGCCCGGTATTGCATCGAGAGACAGAAGGAGTAACACGTGGATGAGAGTTCAAGACATCGTTCAAACTGTTAGGAAAAGTGGGATTGGGCAGGGTCTATCTCGAGAAGGGATGATGACCAATGGTCGAGAATAATGACAGTGGCAGCCAAGGAATGGAATGCATCTGAGAAGCCCACCATCGTGAAGATAGAGCAATGAAACCAGCTCGTGTGCAGGTCGAACAATCGTAAAAGATGGTGATTGCTTGGGCATCCTTCATCCAGCAGTGGATTCATCATAGCTGATGATGGTGGCAGTGTCTAAATGCAGCTGCATCTCAAGACACTGTACAAAACTGGGACTGTGGATCACGGATAACCATCAAACAGATAGGTGTGTATCTATATCAATTAAAGTGTGGATGGCACAGTACTGCAGAGACAAAACACATATAAGGTCACAGGATAAATAGGAAATGAAGGTGTTGAGCCTAGACTTGAACCGGTGTAGGGGTAGGGTCTCCAACCCTCCCGGATGGGCCGGTAGTCTTTACTGGCATTTGTATCGATCTCCCAGTGACTACTGAAAGCAATATCAATTATGGAATATTTTAAGAAAATGTATTGATATAATAAATGCACATAAGTCATATGGAAGTTAATTCATTGTTATAACATTAACGGTGTCAGCTTACTGCGGTCTTCTTTTGTAATTCATCACGTATTGCATCATTTTGGGAGAGAAAAAAAATCTCCCGGAATAGCTTCAGCCAGAGTTGGCAACCACAGATAGAGAATCAGCAGCACAAATGTCAGTGCGGAGGGAATTCCAACTGGGTCTGTGCCCAATGTAAATCACACAGCCTCACCGTGTGCCCTTGATATCGTGCTCCAGCGTGAGCACCAGATCCGTCTCGCAGCGCTCGTCTGTGCCGCAGTCCTTGGTGAACGGCAGCTATGGGGGGGGGGGTGACAGGACGCCGAGCTCAACGCGCAAACCCCGCGGCTGGATGACGCGGCGATTACACGGCGCGTCGTCAGAGCAAACAGCGCCACACGTTCACCACCCACCGGGTTGGATTACGTCTGTATGTTGAGAAAAAAATCTATTCGTATTTTCAACAGCAACTCTTACGAGGGGGAACAGAATCAGATTATGAGACACCAAGACAACGGGGATAAATACATGGAGTTATAGGTGATCCTATGTATGTACGTTGAACTTCTTTCACACCGCACGTAGACAACCGTGCTAACAGAGGTGCGGGGGGAAGGACAACAAACTAAACACAAAAAGCATTTCTAAAGAAATGAGTTTTCAATCTAGATTTAACAGTGCATAGCTCCAGTGGCTTCCTAATATCGGAAGGGAAGAGCGTTCCAGACGGCCGCAGAAGCGCATCTTAAAGTGCGCAATGCAGTGACAGCCTTTCTTCGATGGCTAAGTCAAAAGTCGCTGTAAGGATAACCGGAATTCACGTGATGGTTTTGCTCTTTGATGTTTGATGGGGGCTAAGGACTGGGACAGTATTGCGGGTTCCCCACTTCAAATATTCCTGCTATTTTCTTTCTTATCACCACCGGCAGTAATGCACGCAGTGACATGATGGCTTTAATTATAAAATTACCTATAGGATGTATCATAATGCTATAGTGTTGCTTTTGAATCATTATAAAGCAATCTAGATTTGAAGTTTTCGTGACTGCAGGGATCCATACTCTTTGGTTTTTTCGGTAAAGTCACGTAGATAGAAAATAAAATAAATGAAATCACAACGTTTCGATTGCAACACAAGCAATCATCATCAGGTGGGTAAACCACAGCAATATTTTTTTATTTTTCCCCCACTTCAGCAAAAAAATGTCTTGCTGTGGTTTTCCCACCTGATAATGATTGCTTGCGTTGCAATCGAAACGTGATTTAATTTATTTTATAACTACGTGAATTTACCGAAAGACCCAAAGAGTGTGCATTATAAAGCAGTATATTTTTTTAGGAGCCCGTCAAAATCAAAGCCCCTCGGTTGCAGTCCCTAAATCCCCTGCATTCATCTAGCCCTGTTCACCAACAATATTGCCGTATGGTCTGAAAAGATGACGAAAAAATGAGAGAATTGGGGTCGGCTCGGCCTCAGCCACTGTGAGCCTTAGCTCACGACGGTTCTCCCGACCTCGAAGATCTTGCTGCTGAGCTCCTCCACATCCAGCACGGGCCCCTGCTCGGGGTCTTTCAGGGCTAGGTCCACGCGTAGCTCCAGCGGCTTCACGATGTCGGCGAGCTCCTGCGGGGGAAGAGCCCAATGCAGATAATGAATCGAGACGCCCGAATTCAGCTTTGGACGGAGGGTCTTGTCAAAAAACCAAGAGAAGGAAACATTGCCGTGAACACTGTCGCTGAAAATTGGGGGACGGGTGCACGGCTCGATGTTGCTTCTCACCATCACGTAGAAAGTGTAGTCCCTGCAGAACGGGGAGGAGGTATCTGGTCGGACGGTTGCAGTGCCCTGCAGGGTCCGCTCCACGCCACCGACAAAGTGAGCGCGCGACACCGACCGCACGGGGTCCAGCGTCATGTTGTACACCAGCTCTGCCGGTCAAATGCGCTCGCGTTTTAATCGAGTGCGGACAAGAAGTACGCTTTTTAAACCTTTGCATTGCTGTGGAAAGTGAGAAGCTACTTTATTACGAGTGGGCATTGTGCAAGCTTTGTTCGTGAATGATGGATAGTGGCCTTTGATTGAACTGACCTTGGTTTGGGTGTGCTATGTGTCTTGTGAGGGGCACTTTTTTTCTTATTTTATGTTATTGCCGTTGCCTTGTACAGCATTGTGAGGTGCAGTTTTGCATGAACGACACTATAAAAAGATATATATAATTATTATGAACGATACACTATTTTATTAAGTGTCTAGATTTTTAGTGTCACATTGCTGACTCATGGCAAACTACGGTCATAGGATTGCTGTGCCAAGAACGAGGAAAAATGTCTAACAGTCACAAGTACAAGATAAACATGTTAAAGATTCTTGTTTTTGCACTACTGGCCATGTACACAGCACCTTCCTGTCAAGTAGCCCCACGCACAGCTCGCTAAGCATGCATGTTGCCCAAAAGCCGATGGTTTGCAATTGTAACGACGTATCACTTCATGAACTAAAATTTATTATTAAGCTAAGACACATCCTCGAATTGTGTGTGTATCAACATTTTTCAATTCGTAATGGGTGTTTTCAATTCAGTACACATTAGTGCATTCAATTAAATTGTATACGGCCCTGGTAGACAAATGGTAGGATACTGGGAGACTGTTTGTGCGAATCTTGGAGGATCCGTTTCTACTTTGCAGCAGCTGTGGGATTTGCCAGAAGCGAGACAGCGTTGGAGAGTCGTGGTGGCATCGACAGCTGTGATTTTGACCCCCGTGCCCACAAACAGCGCAACCACATGGGGTGTTGACGCCTCACTCACCAAGCAGAGAGCTGGCCATTTGAGCAGGCCGCACGTTGGCACTGAGGCACATCTGTGCCATCACGCAAACAGCGTCCTGCCCCAACCCCTTGCATGTCTTGTCCATCATGTTGATCTTGTTCGGGTTGAATTTGACCGTCACCGAGACCCGTGCGATCGCTCGGGACCTGATGGAATAGAGCGGTCACTTATCATTAGACCTCCTTTGCCAGTACCAAAATATCACATCGTGATACATTATGACTTCCTGAGATATAATAATAGGGTTTTCCCCTTTTTTCTGGCAACAAAACTGAAACCTTTTTCCGAGGATTCATGTCTGCATTAACCACAATACCTGCAGTCAAAATGCAAACAAAAAACATACTTTTGATTTAAAGCTTTCGTGACTGCAGGGATTCATATTCTTGGTTCGCTCGGTAAAGTCACGTTTTATATTTTTATTATTTTATTGTTTCCCTTCTACGTGACTTTATCGAAAGAACCAAGAATATAAAAACATACTATGATAATATATGCATTGTCCTTGAAACTGAGTGGTCCACACCAAGGGACGGCTTTCTTTTGAGCCTCGACCTAATTGGTGCTCGACCAGATGACGCCAAAAGGCGTACAGCTGTACGCCTTTTGGCGTGGACCAATCAGTTTCAAGGACAATTAATATATTATCATAGTATGTTTTTTGTTTGCATTTTGACTGCAGGTATTGTGGTTAATGCAGACATGAATCCTTGTAAAAAGGTTTCAGTTTTGTTGCCAGAAAAAAGGGGAAAAACCATATTATTATGTGTGTTTATGTTGAACTTCTTTCGTGCAATAAGTAGCCAACCATGCTGATCGTAGGTGTGTACGTGTGCGTGCCGCGTTCTATCACTGTCTCCCTTTATTTTGGTGATTTCGAAAAGTATGGTTAAGCCATGTTTGTTGAAGTACGGAGTTAGCCTGATAACTTTATCGAAATTGTCTTATGGTTATTGTTAGACTTGCATCCCATTGGGGTTTTGGCACAAAGCGTTGATATACGGTGTTTTTTTCTGGAAGATTTTACTGGTTTTTCCTGGATGTTTCTGTTGCGCGTCGCCACTATAAGATGTTTTTGTTCATGTTTTGTTCGTTGCGGTTGGTCAAGAGCCTCATGGCACACAGGGCTATACCTAATAAATTAAACTGAAACCTCACTTCTCCACGTGCCGATAGCCCATCTCACACACGCCGTGCATGTCAGACAATGTCGGCAGTCCACGTGCGCACATCCACCAATCGCAGCCACACGGCTGCGGTATTTGACACCGCAACCCGTGCTGAGAGTCGCAACGATCTTCCGCTGCCCTAGGAAAACCACCTACGTCACCTACGTCTAAAGCCAGCGCTGAGGACCACCCCCCCCCCAGCCAATTACCACGAGCGCTCGCACCCTCCACCTTCCGTACTCTTCATAGCACAGCGGCTCCGTGAGCCACACTGCAGTTGCAGCGCCTGCATGCTCGAGCCATGCCAATGGCTCCTTACCACAGCAGCACGGCCTTGCCGTTGGCCCCGACGGCGAGGTCGGGGATGCCGCTCCGGTCCATGTCCAGCATGCCGTGGAGCGCGCGGCCGAAGTACTGGAGGCGATGCAGGCCGAGTGTGGATGCCGCGACGCGCTGATGAATGAATTCGACAAAACACATCGATTACATTCAACAAAATGGCTCCGTCAGTTGGAGAGGCAGAGGGAGGGGAAGAAGGGGAGGGAGGGAGGGGGGAGAGGGATTTACGTGAGGGGGCAGGGGGGCAGCACCTGCACGTGGGTGGTGCGCAGGGAGCGGCCGTGGCCCTGGAACAGGTAGACGGCGCCCTGGCGCTCGTCCTCAAGCGGAGCCCCCACCGCCAGCTCCCCCCAGCCGTCCTGGTTGAGGTCGGGGACGGCGGCCAGAGCCGAGCCGAAGCGCGAGTCCTGGCTCTCGGCCGGCGAGAGGTGAGCGCTCCACTCCAACACACCCTGCGTACGTGCAAAGGCAGACAAAGACAAAGATTCCCTGTCTAGCCTAAACAGACTGTTGGGGCAAGTGCTGTTAGCGAGCACCTATGAAGGCTGGCACGGCACACGAAGGGGTGGGTGGCCAATACCACGCCCGGCCGCCTTTGTCTCCCCAGTGGTGATGTTTACACACCGCACCAGGTACTCATTTGACGCTGAGTCGACCTAGTGAAGGCCTACGACCGTTTCAGATAATCATCACTGGTGTTGTGCCGTGATTGGGAATTGAACTCGGGTCACCTGGTTCGTAGTGCAGCGTGCTAACCGCTACACTACCGCTCCCCTGCACACGCACACACGCACGCACACACGCACGCACACACGCACACACACACGTACACACGCACGCACACACGCACGCACACACGCACGCACGCATGCACACATACACGCACATATGCACGCACACACGCACACACACATGCACACACACGCACACACGCATGCACACACACACGCACGCACACGCACACACACGCACACACACACGTACACACACATGCACACACGCACACACGTACACACACACGCACACACCAAAGCACACACACGCACACACGCACGCACACACGCACACACACACGCACACACACACACGCACACACACACGCACACACACACACGCACACACGCACGTGCAGGGAGAGATGAGTGCTGCACTCAGCACATCCTGCATGGGCACAGCAAGACAAAGACACACACACACAAAGAGCCCCCAAATAGCCTTCAAGAGACCACTCTGTTTAGTACTGTTAGCGAGCAACCAATGTATGCCGGTAACAAATGTTCACTGGAGGGAATAACTAAACTTTACCCCTGGGGAGAATATACATTCACCAAATATATACTTTCGGGGTGGGGGGACATTTTGAGGGGAACCAGTATTCGTTTGTGTACCAGCTCGGTGGTCTGACCCCTAAAGCCTCCTGGCCACCTTTTGCAGTAGTCTGTCTGTAGCGCCGGGGTCACGTGGGGCACACCTGGGGGCTGAACGTGTAGAGGTAGACGCGGCCCGTCTCTCTGCTTGACGAGTCCATGAACATGGGGGCGGCCACGAGCAGCACGTCCGACACCGAGTCCCCGTCCACGTCCATGGCGCACACCTCCCCGCCAAAGTACGAACCGATCTGTGGGTCACGGCAACGCGGCGCCCGGTGATCGGTGACCGGTACCGCTCCCCGGATAACGCTCGCGCCGGAACGCCGGCGCATTCGTCATCCAGAAACAAAACAAAAACCCCCCTCGAGAAAATAAACTAACGAGGCGCGCAGCTTAAAAGTCCATTCATCATCGGGCACGGGGGACGCCTGTCAGCCTCACCCCTGGGCCCCTATAGCAGTGTTTCTCAGCTCCAGTCCTCGCAGCTTTCCACGATTACCAACTATCAGGTGTGTGCGTGGTGTGTGCTGTGGGCTAATTTTATTGTGGAGAGAAAGACATTTGTAGCCATGAAAAGGCAGACCATGGGGAGGTCGCAAGGACTGGAGTTGAGAAACAAATACTGCCCCTAGCCAACGGAAGGTGGCACAGCGCTGCAAGCTCAGCACCCCATGGTCTGGGGGGTGGGCGATGGGTGGGTGGGGGAGGGGCAAAGGGGATGCCGGATATTTGCAAGTGAATCAGAATATGTATTTACACTGGAGGAATCCGATGGGCTATAAAGCTCTTTTTCACAGATGTCCAGTAGGGGCAGGTCAGAACGTTACAACAACAAACAATACACAAACACGATAGGAGTGCAAAGTATAGGAAGGACAAGATAATAACTAAAAATATATGAATAAAACGAACCTATTTTATTTTACCAGGTAAAGAACCACTGAGCTATTAGCTTCTTTTTCAGAAGCGATCTGATCACAAATGATAACTCACAGTGGCTGTGAGTTAGGGATTGGGATGCAAAAAGACGAGGTGTTCGTGATCGGAGTCATTCAAGCAGGAGCACTGCTCTGATGTATTTTATGAAATAGCCGACGGGGTGGGACATAGGGCAGCCTTGCTTAATATGCAAGTGACGAGGTTTACAATGTGTTAATTATGTAACATCAATCACAAATAGTTGAAGAGTACTTATTTTTTGTGTATATATTTTTGAAAAGTTAATTGTCAACACTAACTTGGCACAAAACCAAGTCAAACATAGACCCCTAGTGTCCCACCCCCTGGCTCCAGCGGTCTCTCCACTGAGCAACAGCGACACCCATGCCGTAGCCCCCTTTCAGCCTTAAAATCACAGAGCATATTTGTGCTGGCCTTCAACAAGGCAATGTGCATGCCCCTTGGTGATGATGTGATGTGACATGCAAGGCATGATGGGGAAAACCTATCCCACTTTCAAATCGCACCTTTTTTTGTCCAGAAATCACCTTTCTGCATCACGTACTGTTACTACTCTAAAGTGCTGTCGACGACCACCACCAAAACCTCGGCTGGCCTGTAAGAGTCATCTCACTGCGGTGGCTAGGAGATGTTAACTACCTCGCCTGGTATGCAGGAGGTCATGGGTTCGAGGTGGCTAGGAGATGTTAACTACCTCGCCTGGTATGCAGGAGGTCATGGGTTCGAGGTGGCTAGGAGATGTTAACTACCTCGCCTGGTATGCAGGAGGTCATGGGTTCGAGGTGGCTAGGAGATGTTAACTACCTCGCCTGGTATGCAGGAGGTCATGGGTTCGAGGTGGCTAGGAGATGTTAACTACCTCGCCTGGTATGCAGGTTGGTCATGAGTTCGATCCCGACCCTGACGCCTGCTGTATATTTGGAGTTTCCATGTCTCTCTCCCTGTGGTCATGTGGATTTTTCTCTGGGTCCTCTGGTTTTTCCCCCCACATTTAGAAACATGCGTTTAGAGTATTTGGCTGCTATACATTTCCACATGATAAGCCACTTCATTGGGCTATTATTTGTGATCAGGTCGCTTCTAAAAAAGAGCTATGTAGCTCAGTGCGCCTTACCTGGTAAAATAAATGTATTTCAGTAATAGTACCTGTTGTCCAACCAGGGACTGGCGAATAGCATAATCCCTGGAGGTGTCGTCCATGCCGAACGTGACCACTTTGCCCGTGTGGTTGTAGCGAGGTGCCCCCGCGATGTACAAGGTTTTCCCCTGCAGGCTTGCGGATGAGAGCGAGTACCCTGAACGTAACAGAAATGCAGGAGTTGCGCGGTCTCACTACGTGTCCACGAAACACAAGCCAAGTTATTATGTAAGCGGGTCGCGTCCCGCTCCTCTCCCCCTTCGCCCACCACAACTCCATGCCCGGTTTCAATAATGTGTTTAGGCAAGCCGAATTTAGCTGCCAATTGAGACAGAAGCCAAAACTCTTCCAGATAATTTCACTTCTTGGGTTGGCCTGAATTCTACATCAGAATGCGGGTCGAGTGGAAATATTGAAATCTGGGAAAGACCTGCCCAACTCACGTAGGAACGTGAGCATCTTGGATAGTTGTCGCGATGCCACCTTTTTTCACAATTTAAGTGGTGATAAAAAGAGCACAATTTTGTGAAAAGTGAAATGTTAATTTGCCTGTGAAGAGACTAGTTCTCGGAATGTGCAATTTCCACCACTAGCACGAGGCTGCCAATGGAGCAGAGCACCATCTCACTGCTAATGTATTTATAGATACTCCCAAACTAGAGTTTGAAAGTGGTACACAAGCACAAATAAAAAAAATACAGTCGACGCATTTATCAACAACACTGTGGCCTCAATGGGAAAATAAATAACAGGTGACGTTTCAGGAAATGGCCCTGTGCTGTGAAGAAGTCCCATTGCCCAAAACATCGCCCGTCAATATATTTTTCCTTGTAAGGCCACAGAGTTATTGGTGGTATACATATATCAAAACAAACAACAACCGCAACAAGAGCAACAAACGCAGCGAATGCAACTTCTTCACATCACGACGTCGGCAGCTAGGCCAGGCACATCGACGGCTGGGCCGCGTGGGTGGTGGTGGCCGCTGCGACAGACCGAGGTAGTTGTTGTGGTTCTTGAGAGACGGCGGGAACTCGGCGGCAAGCGCAGCTCGGGGGAGCAGCACGGAGCCGGCGCCACCCGCGTCGGGCACGTGCAGCACGGTGCCCAGCCAATCGAAAGCGCCCACCGCCCCCAGCAGCCAGCCGTCCTGTGCACCCAGCAGTCGAGCCACAGGGTGACGCGCCTTAGTGTCTTTCACCAGGGCGATCGATATATATATGCTCCGTCCGGATTCATTGATATAGATGCGAGGGGATCGGTTTTGGAGTAATAAAATATATATATGCTTTTTGTTTTGTTTAAGGCGAGTCTTTGGATATTGTTGTTTTCGGAATTTGGGCACTTTTCAGATAATTTCTGTAATGTTACGTGCCTTCGTGCTAGCTGAAGTGACGTCGCCCGATGTCAAGTGACACCACTTTTGGTGCGAAAAACGCGCACATGTGATATCATTGAAATGACATCACTTCCTGTGACCGTGACGTCACACTTCGGATCAATCTCAAACGATCGATATTTTCGGATCTTCCGACCTTTAGCATGACCTTGTTTAAGGAGGAGGGAGGCATACAACAATCTCAGGGGGGCACGAAATGGTAAAATGTTAAGACAAACATTAAACAAATGTTAAATGCTAAAGAGAATGAGTAACGATACAATCTGCTTTTGTCGATCACGCAATTCTGCTCTGGCTATCGCTCCCTATGTTTATGAGGAAAGGCTGGCAACGCCCATGACTTAATTATATTTCGACCAACATGTTTTTACTTGACAAGCATTTAGCAGGGCGACTGTACAGCTCGTCCAGACACTATGGGGTTGCATATGAATCTGTATCCACGCTCCGCTTTGTCTACACGTGATATCTCTACCCATGTAAGGTTCGCATCGAGATCTAGAACAATGAGGCTGCTGCTCTGCAACTTAAAGAGGAGGCCAGTTGATGAAATGAAAATTAATGCACAAGACTGGACAGGGCGAAGGGAACTCAAACCATGAAACTGCCCTGAGGCAGGGAACCCAGGAGAGAGTTCACACAACAGCACCTCCAGGAGCTTCGTAGTCAGCAGCTGCTCGTACCTTCACGGGGAGTATGGAGAATCCAGCCTCTGACAACTCCATCTCGAACGTCGAGATGTCGCTGGTTCCTGATGGGAATCAATGCGACAACAGCACAGTGACGCGAGGGCTCTTCTCTGCCAGCATCACTGTGATTTTTCAGTTGTAAATATACTTTCCCAAAGTAATTAATATCCGTTATAATTGCTTTAAAGTCCTTACACATACCACATCTAAGGTAAAACATGGATCTAGAGTCACTATAAATCATTCATTGGTTCCATCTGTAGTAGTGGCGTAGTTATTGAGGGTGCAGGCAGTGTAACTGCACTGGTCCACAGGGCCCCAGGAGCTGGGGTACGGAGAGGGGAGAAATTGGACAGTGCAGAAGGCAGGGGGAGGGGGCATCTAGTTCCTTGTACCCGGGCCCATGCCAACCATGCTACGCCACTGACACTCGTATTCCCAAATTATATTTTATTCACCCAGGAAAGTATCACCAAACCTCAAGACTCATTTTCAGCAGAGTCCTACTTGAGGTTGGTGGGGGTTTTTTTTCAAAATCCTCTATTTATTCTTCCATCCGATCATTGGACAACTTGATTGCCTCATAATTACCTCACAAACCGAAGATTCCCAAATTCCTTGTGATTAGTATCCCCTCTGATAAGAAACAACTTCACATATCCGACTATATGAACTATTTATGGCCCATATAAGTGGGTTGTGGGAGAAAAACCGACCCTTCATGTGATGTTGATGAATGAGAATAGGTTGTCCCCTTTTTTCTGGCAACAAAACAGGCGTCCTCTGGTCTAACACCGTTTGGGACTAGGCTCAAAAGAAAGCTGTCTCTGTTTCAAAGACAATTCATATATTCATCTTCTTTGGTTATTTCAGTAAAGTCACGTAGAATGAGAATAAAATAATAAAATAACAATAAAATTCACACGACGTTTCGGCCACAACGCAAGCGGCCGTCTTCAGGTGAAAGGTACAGACCTGTCGGGACGACAGAGCTTCATTGAATAAGGAATACAATTCATTGAAGCTCTGTCGTCCCGACAGGTCTGTACCTTTCACCTGAAGACGGCTGCTTGCATTGTGGCCGAAACGTCGTGAGAATTTTATTGTGTTATTTTATTATTGTATTCTCATTCTACGTGACTTTACCGAAAGAACCAAAGAAGATGAATCCTTGCAGTCACGAAAGCTTTAAATCGAAATTCATATATTATCAGAGTGTTTTTTGTTTGCATTCTGACCACAAGTATTGTGGTTAATGCAGACATGATTCTTTGTCAAAGGTTTCAGTTTGGTGTGTTAACATCTCAACACCTGTTTTGTTGCCATAAAAAAGGGGAAAACCTCTTATAATATTTGGGTACTGGCGAAGGAGGTCCCATGATATTAATTCGGAGTTCCTGGCATTATATTTTTTAAATATGGGGTTCACTTGAGGCCCATCTATAACCTCACCAATCAAATGTTGTGACATTGTGTAAAAGATTGAAACACTTACAATAACAGGAATAAGGAATACAATTTTGATTTGAAGCTTTCGTGACTGCAGGAATCCATACTCTCTGGTTCTTTCGGTAGAGTCACGTAGGTAGAAAAAATAATAAAATAAAATACGACGTTTCGGTCGCAACACAAGCATCCGTCTTCAGGTCACCTGAAGACGGATGCTTGTGTTGTGAAAACGTCGTGTTTTATTTTATTTTATTATTATTTCTATCTACGTGACTTTACCGAACGAACCAGAGAGTAAGGATTACAATTGCTGCTCCAGTAAACTCGTGCATAACTGTACATCTATGCCAGCTCAAGCCTCCCGTAAATCTGGTGACTTCTGTGTGGCCACCGCGACTCTAAATTCCTCCATCCCTCTCCCTCCCTCTCTCCCCTCTCATCATGACCCTCTAATCCCCAACATCGACAGTGTATATCCTTGATGACACTCCCCTTTCCGTGGTGTGCCACGAATGAAAAGTATTATATATATTTAAAAAACTAAAATGTAGTACATTCAACAAAAACACCGCTCTAATAAAACAACAGATAGGTGACGTTTTCAAAGACCACATGATGTAACTGGCATTGGCTAAACTTCCAAATAATGAAAAATTATCTGCAAATCCGTCAATTGGAATTACACAGAACAACGTCACCTAAACTGTGAAAACTTGGCAGGACCTTCTATATTTGAGTCCAGTAGAGTCTATTGGAAGCACCACTTAATTCTCTAATGATATATTTTCAACTTGTTCACGCGCCGTACAGTATCTGCTCATTCTCAAAGAGACAGAATGACTCGGAGGCACGAGGAACGACATACAGTATGAGCAGGAGATCCGGCGCTAAAGTCCCCCTAAAGCTCCGCGGTCCTCTACATATTAAGGTGTTATCGATTAATTAATGAGAGTTTACGTGTGGCAGGAAAACCCCACGTGTGTGAGGGGGAAACACTCTATCCCATATAGACGGAACAGTTGAAGTGTACATTTGCTGTACCACCTTCTCCCGGCCAGCCAGGGTATGGCACCTCGATGCCCCCGGAAAGGGAGTTTCACAACATTTGTGTGATACACAAACCCTCGCTTGCCTCCACAATGCTGGATTATAGGCATGCACCACCACAGCCTGGCTGTAGCTTATGCGGTGATGAACACTCAAATTCACTACGCACCCTCCAGGCTATAGATGCGTTCCCCAAGGGCCTTGGTGATGTCCACGAGTGCCCCTGTGCTCTTGACGTCGAAGTAGTATTTCTCTGTGGGCGTGCTGGCGATTGAGCGGATCTCTGCTTGGAGTTTTTCCACATTCATATTGGAACTTATGTAGTAGTCCAGAACCTGCATTGGATGGAGATAAATGGGAGCAAAAACACAAAGATCCCCTGTTTAGCCTAAACAGACTGTTGGGGCAAGTGTTGTTAGTAAGCACCTATGAAGGCCGGACATGGCACATGAGGGCATGGGTGGCCAGCACCACGCCCGGCTGCCTTTGTCTCCTTAGTGCTGATGCTCACACATCGCACCAGGTACTCATTTGAGGCTGAGTCGACCTAGGGTAGGCCCAGGACCGGTTCAGATATATGTCACTGGTGTTGGGCGTGAGCGGGAATCGAATTCGGGTCGCCGGGTTCGTCGTGAAGTGTGATAACTGCATACAAAACACACACGCACACATGTTTCTACGTAAACATGCATGCATACAAATAAAAAAGGTCCCCCTCATAGCCTTTTAAGACTGTTGGGACAAGCGCTGCTAGCAAGCAAGTACCTGTGGAAGCCGGCTAGCACCACACCCGTGATTTGTGGTAACCACGATTTTTTCTCAATTCTAAGCAGCACAAATTTTAATCAGCAATAAGCAGCACAAAACCCACAAAGCAACTGTATACCATTATTATTATTAAGACTCATGAGTATGGTACAGCCATAATTGCCGACTGCCATCTGTAGCAGCCTTCTCCCACATTGCCCAAAGGCTTAGAAGCGCTCGTGAATGCCCTTCCTTCTGCTCCTCTGCCCTTTTGCCCCTCTGCCCCTTACCGCAATGCCGAAGCGAGTGATCCCATCATCGTTGCAATCCTTGATCACCCCTGGCAGTTTGTAGGCATCAGATGACTCCCCGTCTGTCACCACAATCATCACCTTGGACGCCTCCGCTCTTCCGCCGTTTTCCGGCAAAAATGCAGTCGCCCTAGACCCGACACAGAGGCGCCTCCATTAAGACCACAAGCAGAAATACAGCAAATCTTCTCTACTTTGAAAAAAAAAACTCTTCGTATTTTCAACAACAACAGAATCAGATTATGAGACATCAAGGCAATGGGGATAAATACATGGAGTTATAGGTGATCCTATGTGTGTATGTTGAACTTCTTTCATATTGTATGCATCCAACCGCGCTAATCGTAGGTGCGGGAGAAGGACAACAAAGTAAACACAAAAAGCAGTTCTGAAGAAGTTAGTTTTCAATCTCGATTGAAAAGCGCATAGCTCGAGTTGCTTCCTAATATCGGAAGGAAGAGCATTCCAGAAGCGCATCTGAAAGCGCGTGATGCTGTCACCGTCTTTGTTCGATGGCCAGCCAATAGCCGCTGCGAGGATGACCGTGAGAGTTTGCGTGATGGTTTATGCTCCTTGACGAGATCAGCAAGGTGTTGTGGTTCATTTGTGGCAAGCACTTTGTGTGCAGTGAGTTGTCTAAGAAACAAAGGAATGAGAAAAGTAAGAGTAAAGGGAAAAACAAAGGAAGAAATAGAAAACAGAAAGGAAAGGAAAGAGAGAAGAGTCATAGTCAATACATAGTGAGGTGAATGGCTCAAATCGGTTGAAACTTCTCTTAACCACAACTTTACTGCCTGCAATGTCTATGGTCCATAATCCAAATTGTTCCGCGAAAAATCCCAGGGCCTCCCCCATGCCATGCCATATCGGTATATAAGCTGCTCCGTGACAACAAAACAGATGACTGGCATTTATATTTAATTATTTGTTAGTTCAGAACACTGGGCTGGCAACCTCTGAGAGTCTCGAGTTGCAATCCTGAGAGTGAGAAGAGGCCGGGTGGCTCAGAAGTTGAAGCATTTACTGGCACCCCTGACATTTCAGGTTCAGAAGAAAAAAAATATCATAGCTCGAATTTACCTCAATATATTTCAGAACCATATTTAACGTGATGCAGTCACTTGTAACAACGCTGACATATATCACCAACCACAATTGAGAAGCTGATTTAATTACAGGCGGCTGCCTGGATTTGAAACCCAAGATCTCAGCAGTGCAAACTCAGCGCTTTGACTTTCAAGTAACCCAGCTACCTCACACACCAGAGTTCTAAACCAGTAGTATATCAGGGTATCTAGATGTTGGTATGGCATCAGACTAAATGGCTCACCGTGCTGCCTCAATGCCCATGGCCGTGTTGGTGACTTTGCCTCCGCGCTGAGGGATTTTGCTGGCTGCAATCTTCAGCTGCGCTTTGTTGGTGAACTGGTTGAGGTTCATCTCATTGCTGACAGTTTCCCCGTACTGCATGATGCCAACCTGCATGGAGCAGAGCCGAGTGTGTGACGTTAGGACATAAGTGTACGTTTGGGTGGTCGCCATAGAAGTACAGTACAGCACTCATTAGATTTTGTTGCGCTTTTCTTCTGCTGCACACCAATTAGCCCTGCGGCTTAGAACGATCTGCTATACACGGTGGTCATCCATCAAACCAGCGTCACCGTGTATTTCCATTTGGCTCTGCTGATATCAAGGGCTCATGGCCAGGGACATGCACCATCCCTTTTCAGAAGGCATCAATGCAAAACAACGTCATGGACACACGACGGGCCTTGTACACTCATCATTAGCCACCATAAACTCAAAGCCAGGTCAAAAGGTCAAAGAGTTTACAGTGACCTTTCCCAGTAATGGCACACTAAGTTTATTGATTAGCAAGGGGCCTCAGACGCCGAGGAATGGCCCTGGGCTATTCCTGCACAGTCCAGATCTTCTCTCCACACTCCGTGAGCCACGTGGCTCTGTGGGTTTGTCCTCTCCTTGTCCATCAACCTGACTGGTTTTGAGGGCATCTCGGGTAAGGGTGCCGCAATTGTGAGATGTTAACTACCTCGCCTGGTATACAGGAGGTCGTGGGTTCGATTCCGACCATGACGCCGCATGTATATTTGGAGTTTGCATGTTCCACCTGTGGTCGCGTGGATTTTTCTCCCAGTCCTCCGGTTTTTCCGTCCACAATTAGAAACATACGTTCAGAATATTTGGCTGCTATACATTTCCACATAAGCCACGTCGTTGAGCTATCATTTGTGGTGGCTAGGTGGTTTCTGAAAAAAAAGCTATACAGCTCAGTGGGCCTTACCTGGTATAATAAAAAAGGTTAGTTTAGAGAGCGTGGGTTTTATTTCTCAAAGGAGGCTATGTGGCCAACTCGAGGAGCCCACTTAGTGCCGGATTGGCCCAGTAGAGCTGACACGGGAACCCCTACCAAGTCCACTAGCCTGGTTCACAACAATCGATTTTCCACGTGCGCAGTCTAATGCATGCATCACAAGCGTACGAAATTATTTTAATTGGTGAGCCGTGCATTGTTAGCATGGCCGCTGATGATAACGATGACAATGATGGTGAGTGTTTAGCTTCACAGGGTCTATCACGCAGCATTCAGCTACACGGTCACCTGCGTCTGCCCAGGCCCAATGGAGAATGTCTCCAGGATGGAGCTGAGAAAATCCAGCACGGACGGCCAGGGCCAGATGCTGTTGGAGCCATCGAGAACAAGGACGATGTCCAGGAAAGAACGGCAGCCTGGGAGCCAGAACAGAGCACGGACGCACGGCGGTTAATTTGGCAGACACGGAAAGGCAGGCCAAGATGCAATTTCGTGCAACGCCTCATAATCCCTACCACCAATTCAGACTGAACATGTCCGATCCCTGTCGAATCCCATAAGATAAGCAGGGTTGTGCCTGGACGACAACCAGGGCTTGCCAGGCGTTGAAGGCGTGGGGCTGAAAGATGTTTCCCCCTCGTGTGTGTGGATTTTGTCCTTCATCGGTTTTCTCCCACATGCCAAACTCTCATTTATAAACCTGGTCAATGATCTCATGCCAGGACCTTCCTTGAAATATAGTCTTGAAACTCAGTGAGTCTTGAATGAGTAATACGAATAATTACTCTTTGGTTCTTTCGGTAAAGTCACGTACAAAGAAAATAAATAAAATAGAATACGACGTTTCGATTGCTGCTTGTGTCTGTCTGTGTGTCTCCATGTCTGTGTTTTGTATCTCTCTCAAATTTAGTTACATCTGATGACGACTGCTTGTGTTGCGATCGAAACGTCGTATTCTATTTAATTTATTTTCTTTCTACGTGACTTTACCGAACGAACAAAAGGGTAATTCCTGCAGTCACGAAAGCTTCAAGTAAAAAATAATTATATTTATTCTTAACATATGCCAATATGTTCAGGAGCTAAATGCCAATATCGAGGTCTAACAGCCACAAAAGGGCTTCAGGAGAGAGTTCGTGTAGTTTTGCTATTCTACTACTGAAGGAGTGCAGTCTACAGCGGTTTACAATATGGCCCATAGTCTAGATTGCATGGCCACAAACGCACTACTGTGGCTTGTGTCTTTAATTTTCCATTCATGAAGGAGATGTGAGCATCGGCCTGTTGATGTTCTGATGCGGTTGATGGTTCCACCGGTGTCTGCGAGGAATGCCAAAGCCAGGAGGACCGATGTTTGTGTCTCGAATGAGGTGATTAAAAATTGTCACATTACTATACTGCGCTACGTTACGTGTCATCACGAGGAAAACATTGCTCGATCAGTGCTCCTATGAAGCAGAGAAGCTTTTCATGGTTTTCGTGTGAAATCTGCTCTTTGTTTTTTGACCTAAGAACCACGGTCTTGACTGGTGTCAGAGTCCCTGTGCCTTCAAACTTTTGCTCAAATCTGTTTGTAAAAATACATTCTTCAGTAGTCATGCAAACCCAATGTGGTTCATTGGCAATTAAATAGTGATGTGGAATGTTCAACACATTACTTATTGTTTAAATTTACTGTCAATTATTCACGCTGGTTTTTTAACTCAGAATTCCACTGCAGATGACCATTCCTACCTCATTATAAAAGTATTTAAAAAAGGAAACACTTTACTGCTTTAAGCTTTTGAACAGATCACCCAGAAAGCACTCGACCTCATTGCATATCAGAAGCTAAGCAGAACTGCATTTGGATACTGCTCGCATGGGTGACGACCATGCACAAAAGACCAGTGTAATGAGCTGTGTGGGCTGTAGATGGCAGTGGAGCAGAATCCACCCTGACCAGCGTGGTGAAGTATGGTCAAACATCACTCACGGCCCGCAAGGTGTGAGGAGGTCCCTGCCCAGCACTGGATTGACAAACTGGGCAGTACATGTTCACTACTACTTTATAGTTGGCAATGTAATCCACCACTTGCCAAATGAGGGTGGCTGGTAACATTCTTGATTTTTAACCGACTGCGGTATATGGTGTAAAACCAAACAGACGGCCGATCAAGCATAAGAACAGCCTCAAGTCACATCCGTCTGTCGCCATTCATAAAATATGAGAGCCATTCAACAGCAGAGCGGCCCTGGGCATGATGCCACGTGACAGCCTCTGTGACAATGGAGTATTTTTGTAAAAGACATTCGTTCCGTTCATTGACTCTGCCATACCTGTCATAGTCGGCGCAAATGGGCTTCCAAGCTGCTGGAAGTTAGGTCCAGCCACAGCACAGGCACCCACAGGGAAATACAGACTTCCACACTCGTGAGCCCAGAGCGGAGCGCAGGACTGTGGGTTTCACACACACACACACACGTGAATATGTACACAAAGAGAAAGGTTCCCTGTTTTTCACTGGACAGACTGCTGGGGCAAGAATAGCCTCTACATGTGCCCGCATCTTAAGACAGACACAATGGGCATGCGTATTTTATATCGAGAGGCGGGCAATCATTGGCAGAGGGATACAAGGAAGGCTTTGAGGCTGGGCTTGAACAGGGGGCAGGCAGTCAGCAAGATAAGAGAGGAAGAAAGGAAATTAGTTCCAGACAATGGGGGCAGCAAAGGAGACCGAGCACCTCAACTGTCAGTGACCACCTGGTAAGGCTGGCAGGTTACATGGAAGGATGATGTGGACAACGCCATGCACCCTCAATCAGCTTTGTCTCCCAAGTACTGGTTGTTGTGGTGGAAACACACGGCACCAAGTACTTATTTTGGGCTAAGTTTATCTTGGGGAAGCCAAGGGGAGATTGCTGGTGGCGTGGGTGGTCAGGCATGAAATCAGTCTGGTGGCAAACTTTGAAAAGTTGCCTTTAAATTTGGAAGCAACTACTGTTGCTTGCCAATCTGTATGGGTCAGAATGGCAAGCGAAATCCAAAAATGCAATAGCTATGGCAGACTGCACATTTTCATGATACTGTACTGTATATCTTGGCGTGTACTGATTCATGAGGGCCTTGTTTTGTAGGTTCAGTGGTATTTGGGTACTGGAATATATATAAATGGTAAAGGGTGCAGGCCTGAAATGTCTTGCTCACGCCACTGCTGGCAGCAACTTCACAGGATATTTGGTCCATAATAAAGGGTTTTTTTTTTTTGCCAGAGTTGAAAGTACAACACTTCGCCAGTAGTTACAACTAGCTTCATCAGGCGACAGCCTGATGAAGCTAGTTGTAACTACTGGCGAAGTGTTGTACTTAGATTGTAAATGTTGTGGCTTTGCTCTCCAACACACCGGTGTACTGTACTAGTAACAAATTGGCATGTTCTGTTTACGTGACAAACCTTACTAATTAGCCCAGTCCGATAGTGGCGGGTTTAACAACACATTTATATGTTTACGCGATCAAACCCAAAAAAACATGTATTTTGAATGAGATTGGTCGCAAAAGCCAGAGTATTTGGTCGATGTTTCCACGCTGGCCACATGTCTTGGAAGAGGTGGAAGTACCCACACTTTACCCCACTACACAAATGTGGCATGCACATTTGCACTGTTAGGTAAAAAGAGGCAGGGGTGGGGGACATTTAAGAAACTTGAACCATTGTTTCAACTGCTGTCAATGTATGTAGTGGTGGTTTGTTATGTATCCATTATCTCTAGCTTCACATCCCTGAATGACATCAGTGATGGATAGCCCCTGCTGATTATCCAACGATACTAAACTAGAAATATGGAGGCAGTGGCCGACCTACCCTCCAGTAAAAGGAGCTGTGATACTACAAGTGACTGGCGCTCGTTATGCATTCTTCCAAAATGGAAAAGCTGGTCCTGTTCGTCAAGAGGGGATGCATAATTTTATAAAAAAAATACAAAGTGTTCCCTGAAATAACATTCGTATGACAGAAACTTCATTAATCTAGAAGCTTTGGTTTGACCGCAAAATGTTGATTGGAGGTGTTATTGAGCACAGGGATTAAACATAGCACGTGGCCTCTCGACTGTGAAATATTGGCAAGACCCTCCTGAAAAAGTGTCTTGAGAGTTGATTAGGCCTTGCTGGGTAAACAAGCATAAATATAGATTCAAAGTTGCCTCTCAATAGGTTTAATGGGTTCCTCTTTTGAATCCATTTAAATGACAATTATGGCTGATGTCACGACATTTCTACTGTGTGGATATTTTGTTGTAGTTACAGCCTGTGCTGTATAATACATCAGGGAGGCATAAATGTTCAACCACATGTCCAGATAATGTCATCATCACCAACTACTTTTTCTCCAAGTTACCACCAGTGAATAGGAACTACATTGTGCAGTGTACAAAAAAATCAGTATGTTTTAACATACGGATACAAGTATTGTCACAAATCTAGTAATGACAAAGTCAGTATTTGAATTAAAAAAAACAGCTTTCAATTCACACAGCATAACTTCATCATGTGCTGGAGAGTTACAGGGGTTAGTGACTTGATAACAGTAGAAGCCATATACAGTCTGCGGCACTATCTTCAGTACATGAGAAAGTGGAAAGATAGTGCAGGTTCCACTGGTTCAAACCTCTGTTTAAAAATTTAAATCATAGAGTTGGGTGATTGAATATGACCTCACAATTCATGGTCTGTGTACATAGACCTCATATACACAGCTATTAAAGAGAAATTGGAATTTTGGTCGGATTAAATGTTCGGTTTAACACGTATGCTTTCGTGACCAATATTATTCATATTAAAGGGGTTTGGGTTAGATCGCGTTATTTATAAATGTGTTGTAACCCTCCACCACCCGACATGGCCAATCAGAAAAAATAAGTGTCACGTTGACAAAAGACAAATAGCTCACTACTTTAGCCCACTTGTGTGTTGAAGAGTGAATCCACAACATTCACAGTTTGAGTACGACGTTTCGCTGGTAATTACATCCAGCATCATCGGGCAATTCGCCAGAATGGTAAAGCCCTCCACTTACTCCCGGTCTTAAATAGATCAGCAGGGTGACGTCATCATTTAACTCATTCAGGTGCAGTGATTTGAGGCGAAGGGGGGGGGTATTGTAATTATATAATCGATTGGTAATCAGTCAATGGTTATGATTAGTAATGAGTTGTAGATTAATAATTAGTTGTAATGTGTGTTAAATGTCGATGTGATCTCATTTGTCCCCATATAGAGAAGTTGGAGCAATCACAATAGTGCTATGTTGTAATTCTTCTGTAAAACGCTTCCTCAACAAAAGCCTTGCATTTTGGAGAAGAGGTTGTTTTTGATGATTTTCAATGTGTATTTTTCTTATGCTACATATGGTTCTTGAGTTACAAGCAGAATGACAAACACATCTAAATAAATCAATAGTAGTATGATTGTGATCATGATGATGATGACGATGACAGTAAAACATAATTGAACACATCAATAGTAGCGTGACAATGCAGCAACGGTTGCATGACTTCTACAGGAGGCTCCTTATTGTGGTCAAGGCCAGGCCGCATGCACACACTTGGGGTGCTGCTCACCATGATACTCTTGGTCCTGGGGTGGACGGCCAGGCTCAGTCCCAGAGACATGTTCTCCCTTACCTCCGACACATCCGGGATGGTGATGGAATCTGCCGAAGAGAGACAAGGATCCCCCCTAAAGCCATGCAGACTGCTGGAGCAAGTGCTGCTCTTCTTCCTAAACTCTCTGTCTATGAGACAGGTCCATGGCTCCAGCTGCCTCCATCCCAATCACTCTCGTCCCCCCCGCCCAATGGCGGAGTCAGGATTTTAAGTTAGGGGGGGCAACCCCTCCAGCAATGAAAAATGATAGAGGAGTTGTTAGTAAGTAAGGACTTGTCCCTTGCTTTTTATTCGACGCGTGTGCGGCGATAGTGCAGCCATCGATCGAGGGTCGAATTCGAACCGCGTTGTGTGATCGGCATCGCGCTCGCTGCTTTGCCGTTAGTTATTGCCCATTATGGACTCAGAACATTGTCCTATCATCTCATAGAGTCCCTGGCACGTAATAATATGCTATACAGTGGCAGTGGGGGGGTCGCAAAATGCCGATTTCTTACTAATAAACCCCAATGATCCAATCGAAATTATGGATTTCGATCGGATCATTGGGGGGGCACGTGCCACCCCCCTCCCACCCCCCCCCACTGGTTCTGCCAGTGCCCCCGCCTCCCTGCCGTCTTCACCTCGCAACACCAATAGTCTGCGCTAGGATACTCAACACTGTTGCTTTTCTCAAGAGCGTTCTTGGGATGCCAACATGATCCAACTGGAGTGTAGCACCAAACTCAGGGGCCAAGTCGGGGTTGGCATAGCCATATAAACAGAGGCCATCAAACGTAGAATAAAATGCCTTCCAACTTATTCTCACTTAAAAAACACCCAGAAAAAATATATTTACCCCTACAACCATACAGATTTTGAGTGCAAGTGCTGTTAAAAAGCACCTATTAAGGCTGGCCACAGCATAGGTCATTGTTCTTCACTCATTTTCAGAGGGCGGCCACTTTCGCCGATAAGACATCAGTGAGAGGGCCGCCGCACCGCCTACAAGGGGTGATTTCACTATTTGTGTATTGTCGGGGGGGGGGGGCTACAAATCAGGGCCACACTAAAGGCCACCAGGTACCACCAGTGGCCCACGTGCTTTGCACTGAAGAACACTGGCATAGGTGATGGTGTGGTGTGAGACTAACATCAAGCCTGGGCCACGTTGGTATTCTAAGCACTGATGCTTACACACTGGACCAGGAGCTCGCTTTAGGCTGAGTTATCCCACAGGAGGTCCAGGATAGTTTATGATTCTGCATACCACTGATGCAAACTGTGGCTAGGATCAAACTCAAGTTGCCAGGTTCTTAACACGGTGCACAAACCGCAGCACCACCTCTCACACATATACTTACAAACCCACACACAAACACAAATTAGTATACTGACCACTGAACTGCAGCTTCTCACAGTTCCCGTTACGTGAAGGGACAGGACACTTGTACAAGTCCCCGGTTCGTGGACCAGATGACAACAAGCTCGGCGCCCCAACCAACAGCCTACGCAAGACAACACGTGACAAGCAATCATGTTAAATCAAATCTGTAAGTGACGAGACAACCCTTCAAAACAGAACAGTGCAGGCCACAAACCTTAAGTTCCAAACAACATGCACAAATATTTTTTTAAAAATTAACCACAGTGCACTTCTTCAGGAGTTTCTGATGACTTTTGCATAATGCACAAAAGCTCAGTGCTTTTCACACGTTTGTGTGTTGTTTGCGACGACATTGTCTTGCGTGTTCAGATCTGACAGCCGAAGCCCAGCCTCGGCTGTCAGATTAAAATGTGATGCAAAGTCTGCTCAGGATTTCCAGAGTCGCGTGCCGCCAGGCTTTTCTGACTCTCCACTTCAATGGGTGATGGCCAAATCAACCACGGGTGCTACGAGTAACTCGGCTTAAGGGTGCACCTTTGCTTTCAAGGAAGGTCAAATCCAGGGGGTTCAATGGCTGGGTTGATGATGAGAAATATGTGACTGACATTTGTAAACGATATGCACGTGACGGTCAATGCTGTTTTTTTTGGTGCAAATTTTGCTATTTATTAATGAAGTGGTTTTATTTGTCCATTGGTCCCTAGTACTGATGCTCATTTCAGACCACAATGGAATAGTTCTAGCCACAAGCACTGTAAACTGTAAGATTATGCCAGTAGATGTGAAGTGCGTTCATGCTCATCCTAAAGTAAATCCAATATACATACATAACCTTTAACAGTTGTTCAAACACTTTGGGACCAAAAGTATATTTTTTAAGATCTGGACCACAGAGAAATATGGTAAACACGTAAACAAACTTTGATTTAAAGCTTTCGTGACTGCAGGGATTCATATTCTTGGTTCTTTCGGTAAAGTCATGTAGAAGGGAAACAATAATATAATAAAACATAAAACAATACAATTCTCACGACGTTTCGACTGCAACACAAGCAATCATCATCAGGTGTGATAACCACAGCAAGAAAATTTGAAAAAAGTGGCGTTTTTTTAACGTTAGCACCACGGAGAGTGATTTGGCAGTTATTCAGATGGACGAGTCCATCTATGTTCGGAAAAGAGGAGGGGGGAGACGAAAATAATGGATGCGGTCTGAAAACCACCTTAAGCGTGAACAATCAATTAAGACCCGAAATGGTTTACCAAATCCTTACAATGATTGCTAAGCCAGAATCATCTTCTCGTTGAAATTGTCTCTGTGTTTGTATATGTGGATAGCCTCATGAACAGAGGTTCTTTGCAAGCTATCTGGCTACCATGAGAGATTCGTTCATGAGGCTATCCACAAATACAAACACAGAGACAATTTCAACCGTCTTAATTGATTGTTCAGACCGCATCCATTATTTTCGTCTCCCCCCTCTTCTTTTCCGAACATAGATGGACTCGTCCATCTGAATAACTGCCAAATCCCTCTCCGTGATGCTAACGTTTAAAAAAACCGCCACTTTTTTCAAATTTTCTTGCTGTGGTTTTCACACCTGATGATGGTTGCTTGTGTTGCAGTCGAAACGTCGTGAGAATTTTATTGTTTTATATTTGTTTTATTTTATTGTTTCCCTTCTACGTGACTTTACCGAAAGAACCAAGAATACGTAAACAAACTGTCAAAATATCTTAAATCATAAACCAAATATCAACAAGAACATCAGGCAATTATCATTTAAAACAACACATTAACAATAAACAGCAACTGTATTCTACATTTTTTTGATATGTAATTTTCAAGAAACATATGTCCACGTGGAATAGGGTATAATTCGAAAGCAATTATGTTCATAACGGGAAAAAAAGTGTGGCTTTGCAATTTTCCATTAACTGACCTGGAAGTTTCTATATATGATATACGATAGTTGCAACGATGTGCTATGCTTGAGGTATCATTGTTCAAAAGCATATTTATTATTTACTCTTGAAATGTAACATTGAAGTTGTAAGGCACATCATGAAATAAAGTATGTTGAACGTGGGATTCATAGTCCAAATAAACTTGGTGGCAATGTCTTAGTAAATGCCTTGAAATAAAATTTATAATGTTAGCAGCTGCGTGCTCATGACGGTTATAAAACGAGTCACTCATTATATTATTGCCCTGGTGTGGTCTGCCATGTAGCAACTAAGACTCAAAGGGATGTGAGAGGTGTACCATCAAAGCCCTATGTTAAACATCGAAGGCCCTATCATAGAAATACAAGGCCATGAGGTAACTAATAATCAGTATAATGTATACCACCTTCATTTCCTTTTATGGACAAAAATAAATGAAGGAATTGCATTATCAGTGCTACACAGGCAACAGCATAACAGAAACGCCTCATCACATTCATCAATAACTCTTCCTTATAAGGAAAACAACACACGAGGGGCGACCTGAAACACTTAAAAATCACACTGTCCAGAAGGGAGGCTCTTGTTGAGAGCAGGCAGATATAAGTGTATGGAAAAATATATTGAGTTCAGTACGCATAATAGTTTTTTTGGGTTTGAGCGCCTAAATAAATGTGTTGTTAAACCCGCCACCACCCTACACAGCCAATTAGTAAGGTTTGTTACGTAAACAAAACATGCCAATTAGTTACTAGTTCAGCACACCAGTGTGTTGGAGAGTAAAAAATATATTGAGTTCAGTACGCATAATAGTTTTTTTGGGTTTGAGCGCCTAAATATAAATGTGTTGTTAAACCCGCCACCACCCTACACAGCCAATTAGTAAGGTTTGTCACGTAAACAAAACATGCCAATTAGTTACTAGTTCAGCACACCAGTGTGTTGGAGAGTAAATCCACAATATTAGTAACTAATTGTCATATTTGTTTATGTGACAAACCCTATTAATAAGCTATGATGGTTGGTGGTGGGTTTAACGACGCATTTATATTTACACAATCTAACCCGAAAATCATCTATTATGGATAATATTGATTGTGAAAGTCTACGTGTTAAAGTCCTATTAGGCCATCTGCAAGGGAATAATACAATAAAATATCGGAAAGTTATGATATGGTGTCCCAATGAAGCCAACATGGGTTATTTTGAATGTGTGGGCTTTCAATTTTTCCAGCACAACTGAGGCTCACTTTTCATGCACCGACCCTCATTCAGAGGAAACACTGCTCACATGTCAGCTTTCTCAAGATGTCCCAGTTGTTCAACACTAAAGTGGAAAGTGCGATCTCCAAATTACAAAGCTAGATCAACTTTTTGTCTGCCACTCCTCTCTCTGCTTTGTAGAAGGGCCATTGCCAACATGTGAGCTTGTCGCAGCAGTTCCCCAACTGTTGTCCCCGGACCCCTGGTGGTCCGTTAGGCTACTGCTACAGGTGGTCCGCGGAAAATAAGAAGACAAATAATAACATCCTCACTAAGGAAAGGTACAATTTTAAATAGCTCGTAGGTTGACAAAGGGTCCGCACACTCAAAACGGTTGGGCAACCGTTGACCTATAATCGTGTGTTTCGGTTGCAAGGCAGTGTTGATGATGAATGCGATGAGTGTTTCTTAGTTGCGCCTCCTTGTATAAAGAATTGCTGCGCTGCCCCGCAGGCACTGCAATTGAGTCCGCGCGGAATTTGTGTTTTTGTAACATTTATACAGTTCCATCACATTTTTATTTAAAGCTTTCGTGACTGCAGTGATTCATATTCTTGGTTCTTTCGGTAAAGTCACGTTGAAGGGAAACAATAAAACAATTAAAAATATATAAAACAATAAAATTCTCACGACGTTTCGACTGCAACACAAGCAGTCATCATCAGGTGTGAAAACCAACGGCAAGAACACAGTTCATGACGGTGATCATTTAGAGACATTTTGCCGCATTGAGAGATTATTTGGTTACATCTACAAGAGCAGCAGCACAGAAGGAGCGATCTCCCACTGAGTGAAGGTTTTGACCAACGAGTTTGAAAGAAGGCCCTGATTATACTGTAACAAAAAAATGTTCCTGGGTAGTAAGTCTTATTTTCTAATTACTTATGCGTCAAAGGTACAGAAAATGGGTATTATTCCACACAAACTTTGCTTTTGTGACCAGGATAAAAAAGCCCAGTTAATAATCCACTCCATGAATAACACTGTGTAACAAATTTATAATTTTTTTGTTCCTGGGTAGTAAAGTATAATTTCCAAATTGCTTCTGCCTCAAAAGTACAGAAAATGGCTAGTATTCCCTACAAACTTTGCTTTGTGGCCAGGGCAGTGATATTTTGAAATGTACCTATTTTCAATGAGAAAACGTGGTGTGCATGTGTCATTCCATCACAGAAAGTCCTGGTCACAAAAGCAAAGTTTGTGGGGAATACTAGCCATTTTCTATACTTTTGAGGCATAAGCAATTCGAAAATAACACTTACTACCCAGGAACAAAAATCGTGTTAGATAGTGTTACTGGAGCAGAGAGCATGTGAAAGGAAGGAGAGTGAAAGATGAGGGGCATTTTACCTCCAAAAAACACAGGCTACAGAGTGCAACCCAGCAAGTGATGTAAATACACTTAAGAGAGACGTAACCATTAAAGCCTTTTTACTAGAAATGATAAAACATCAAACAAGCACATTCCCTAAAAATGCCTCATTCATGGGCAACGTCAATTTGATTCTAGGAAAACTAAGCACCGATTATCATATTAGGAGCAATGCATCTCTTCAGGCATGGTTGGATTTGTTGAATAAACATTTCCATCATAGTACATTTAAATGGATGACAAATACAGGAAGAGAATATCCTGATAACATATTATGAAATATTACTTGTTTTATTTATGCTGTAGAAATTATATCCTGGTTATAAGACATTTTGCGCAATGTGAAAAAAGAAAATAGCTCAGTATTCAAACCGCCACACACACACACGAGTTAAAATGCACTGGTGGCTCACAGCAGGTTACCCGAGTGTCCATGGCTCATCGAGAGATAGATTTACAAAAGTAATAAGGGGAGCTTATCCCCGATCCAGAGCTCTATATATTCCGGGCCCTAAGTATTATGAGAACCTTCGTTTGCATGTGCATTGCACGCAAAGCTGGAAAGGGACCTTTGAAACTACCCCAGCAAGTGTCGTTGGCTTCCTGCGTGACGTGACCTACAAACGGCACCAATAAAAAAAACGTTGGTCTGCGATGTGGATGCACAAAACAATCATTAACAAAAAAAACCCCGCCAATATTGGTAATGCGCACCTTTCAGACACCGCTGAATTGATAACAAAAAAATGGCGATTCTGTTTCTTAAAACAACACTACTGTGTTGATTTGAAGGTTTCGTGAGTGCAGGAATCCATACTCTTTGGTTCTTTCGGTAAAGTCACGTGGTAGGTAGATAAATAATAATAATAGATCACGACGTTTCGATCGCAACACACAAGCAAAAACGTGCTGAAGTAGGCTCCAGCACGTTTTTTTTTCTTGCTGTGGTTGTCCCACCTGATGACGATTGCTTGTGTTGCGATTGTAAACGTCTTGATCTGTTATTTTTCTACCCACGTGACTTGACCGAAAGAACCAGAGAGTAACAACTACTGTGGGTAAAAGAAGTCAAACGGGCTGAGCCTGCCAGGACGACTCATGCCCAGCCCTGCGCCGCAGTGCAATCCGATCCGTGCCCTGTGCGTCGGCACACAGGGAAGGAGGGAGGCGTACAAGCCCAACCGTGGCTCCTTATGCAACCCCACCACGAGCAAACCACTCGGGTCGTGCACAATCACTTGCCCCGAATGAACCAGAAACCACAATCCGGCACCGTTTCAGAAACTTCTGCTCGAGAACGCATCGCGTTCCCACACAACAAGCCAGGCCATCATTCCCACAGCGCACGCAGGCAGCCCCTGAGTTCCTAACTGCGTTCCCCGCAAGGGAAACAGTAACCCTCGCCACCGTATGCCTACTTATTTCTCAGCACAAATGAGGAATTTTAACAGAGGGCTTAGAGCTGGGGGCTTGTGATAAACAAATACCGCGGCTGCACCCACGGTGAAATTTTAGGGTGCGTAGCAAAGTTGTTGGGGGTTGTGGGCGGGTTTGTGTGTGGTTCTATTTTTTTTGGAGGAAACCAAAAATGTGTTTTTTTCCCAAACGCCTTGAGCAAACCCTTATCTGATCGTGGACTACTTGAAATATGCGCAGGTAATTGTAGCGTGAGCCTCTAACGCTGTTGATGGCAAGTCGATGCCCAGGAAAATAACGAAATGTCATCAACGCAGCTAAAAGACGACGGTTGACGACTGCAGTGACTTTGTCTTCCACAATAGCACGCCTGATTGCAAACGCTTCTTTTGAAAGTGTCGTTTTCATCAAGCTTGTACCATTGCCTATGACCACATTCTCCTAAATACGCCAATCATATCCAATATTGGAAACCATGTGGGGTTACACCAGGTTATAACTTGCATGGGTAGATCACCGGGGCTTGTCAGGTGTTGTAAGTGTGGGGCTTCCGAGAGGAGTGGCCAAGGAGATGGCAGTGCTGAGTGTCACCTCCCGCTATGCTCGGTGGGCTTTCACCAGGCACTCTGGTTTTCTGCCACATGCCCATTGCTCACCTATCGAATTGGTCAAACCTTCCCATGCAGGACCCTTTTGGAAAAAAAGATCCTTCAGACTCAGTGAGGTTGCTCTAGGTAAATCATTGGCATTACAGTAATATATACTGTATAACAATACAGAACCACAAATCTATAGCTGTTGACAAACATAAACGATTCCAGGATTACAGGTGATGGGTCGTTTAAATGTGAATTTATTATTATTTTCCATGCTTTTTCTTGAACTTTCCATCGAGTTGTTATCAACAATCGCTGAGAAAATTCTAGTTTTGGAACGCTCCACTTCGCCTGTTTACATCACACACACACATCTTTTGTGACCTACACTTTCAAAGATAAGACTCACGTGTGAATGGGTGTGAGAGTGGAAGGAAGTTTACTCTTGCAGACTTTTGGCTTTGAGTGTGACCCACATTACAGCTTAGAATTATGACGATTAAAACAGGCTCGGAGAGACAACGTAATGCAGCGTGAACCTCTAACTCTTTTTTTTTTATGGGACAAAGGACAATGCCATTGGCTGAAAACACTTTAGGACAATTGCCAGCGACACATGCTTTCTACCATATCACAGTTTTATGAAATAAAAGTTGCACTCTTTGACTCGATGGTCACACCGAGCCAAGAGGGATCCTTGCACCACACTACACAGCTTAGAATGCTGCCGTTCAACCTCAAGGAAGCTCTCACCCCCCCCCCACCCCCGCCTATTGCGCCTGGGCCCCTCTGGCCCTTGGGCACCGGCGCAGTTGCACCGCTTACACACTCAATAGTAGCTACGCCACTGACCTCCCCGGCCACACAGCACCCGTCCCACAGGTGAGAAACGACAGCAATGGAGGGGAAGCTTCTCACGGTACCAAGTGATTTGGTGCAGTGGGCTACCGGGCATTAGGACATTAGTGACCTGCCGCTTTCGTGGCAGCTCGAAGTTCTCATGGAAGGGTGTCTGTCAAACGTCGAATAAGGAGATCGATGCCCGTTAAGAAGTTTACCCTGTTCACCCATTGATCGAGGAAATCTCTCCTCAAAAAAAAACAGCGCCAGATGATTAGGCCGGTTCGAAACATCATCCTAGCCCGGGTGCAGTATAGCATTCTTTGCGTTGGAAGTTTTAGGATTCAAGCGGATATTGTACATTGTATGTGCGAGAATAGGCTACCGCATGCTGACGTTCTATGTGATCTCAACGACAAATGCATATGATTTCCCTGTTGTACAGTGCCGTGTAAAAAGTAACGTCGAATAATACACAAGCTAAGCTGTAAGCAAATACGTCCGTTAAAAGTAACGTTTTTCTTCATTCCTGAGAAGTTTTTTTTTCCATCGGTTACACCCACAAATGCAGCTGGGGCAGTGACTTGTCTAGGCGGAGTCACTGGGCTGGCAGCTCTGATGACCATTTTGTTCAGAGATAAGCAGCAAGTAAACACACCAGTTAACTACCATTGTCTCTGGTCGCACGTGATTGGGAAAACCTTACTTTTGTGGAGGATAAAGAAAATGCTTGCTATCAACAAAACACCAAGTCCACATCCACATAAACTCTAACTGCAGACACTGTTGTGGCTTCAGTGTAGCAAAATCCAATGTTGTACCATACTTTGTATGCTCTCACGTCTAGGCTCCTGGCCCTTCACCAAGCCACGCTGACCAGCGTGGTGATGTATGGCCAAAAACAACCACACGGAACGCACGGCATGGGATGGCTGCCATCCAGCATTGGATTGACAAAAGGGCTGTACACGCACAGTTGCTGATTTCGCTCATCGAATAATAAATACCTTGTGAGCTCTGCACCATTACGTAAAACGCTGGTACGCTCTATTGTAATTGAGAGTAAGACTTTGTGGGTGATCATGGGGCAAGTCAGTGTCAGCCCGACTGAGCCCATTGCATCAGTGGTATATAATGTCAGAAGTAGCTCTGTGGCATCTGCTTCCCAATACCGTATTCTAACACGGGGTGCTGCACTGCTCGGTGAGCAACTGCAAATATAGACTCTTCATCACAAGACAACAGACGCACCGCATGTGCAAACAGGACAGAACTTTATAAACAGATATGAAGAAAAAATAAAAGAGAACATTTATTTTAAAAGGAATGCAATTACTGAAACAATACGCATTTCAACGTTACGGAGGAAAATAAAGTGTATGTGTTCCACAAATCCCCTAATTGTACGTGTGTTTGTGGAGTAAACAACACAGTCACTGAATAAACTTTCACAAGTAGGAGAAATATCTCAACTTATTCAATAAATGATTGCCCTGTTTGTATTCACACGTGTGACTCACATTCCATTTTCCCAACAGGTTATTGTGTCTCTCATGATTCATGGCCACTATCGGTGTTTTCTTTTGCGACTTCTTTAGTTATTTGTTGCCGAGTAGAACTGTGGGTAATTTATATGGAATTCATCACATGCAGCTTATTTACCCTTAAAGCGTACATACTGTGCCCTGACTCTATGAGTGGATTGGCATAGGGCTATACATTATTATTTTATGTGTTTATGGTGAAAGGGTGTTGACTCAGTAATTAGCGCACTGCAACTATAATTCCAGGGTGCAAGGTTCACTTCCTGGCTGCCTTATAAAATCGTTGATATTTCAACCAGCCAAGGTTCGCCCCCATTTCACCAACCTGCACTGACCAGCATCGTGCGATCAAACAACCTCCACGAGTGACACAACATGCGGGAGGCCTTCATCCAGAAATGGATTGACCGTCATTCTCATCCAGCAGTGCTTTGCCAAAGGGCTGAATATTAAATTATTAATATTAACAGTAATTTATTCAACAAACTGTATAGGGCATGTACGTTTGTATTAACCTGTTTTCAGAGTGGGATACGTTTCATTTCTGAAAGATGCGTACTTTTTTTACATTTATCCTATCAGGTTTTAAAGTAACTTTTATTGAAAGGAAAGGCACTAATTGCAATGTACAAGTGAACCGGAAGTGCAGCGAGAGTCCACAGAGCCAATGCAGCAGGATGCACTCACCAATTGCTGGATCTCTCTGCATACTGCCGCACCGTGTAGCCAAACTGGGCATCTTCGGGGCCATCATAGAACTGGGCATTTTTTGTTCCAATATTAAATGCCCAGCACACACCTGACAAAACAACATCAACAACAACAGGACTTTAAAATAATATTCGCCAACTGCCATTCGCTTCAGTAGTCATTCCCGTGTTGGCGTCATCTCCGAAATGAATATATCAGCAGTCGTCTGCATTGTGTTTGATGTCTGCTGGAGGGGGGGGGGAGTTAAATGTAATCAGGGTAGAACGAGGGTGGAGTGGTTTGCTCGTTGCACAATAATCTGGTAAACTGAGTTGATTCCCAGCCACGATTAATTTGAATCGGTCCTCGACACTAACCCGTGCTAACCAGCGTGAAGTACTAAAAAACAACTCACATTACTGAAAGGCATGTGGGGAGATCTTCATCCAGCAGTAGACTCATAAAGGGCAGTGCATTACATTGCAACAAGTGTGCAGGCCAGTGCAGTAGCGACGAAACGTGTCAATCGTAACAAAGTGGAGGGCATTTCATGTCTGAAAGAAAATGCCCCTCAAATTTGGAGTGGACATTACGTGAGGGAAGCTTAAGAAAACCTTACTCAAATACCACGTTGACGTATAGCTTCAGATCAAATTGCAGCCGGGCACTCTGAGTGTCTGGCTTCCCTGTTTAACACACTTCATTGGAAGTGGTGAATAATGAAAAAAGAAAACAATATTAAGTGCTGTGCTGAAAAGAATTCAAAACTAAAATCCCAGGTGAAGTGAACCCAAAAATCCATCCATAAATGGACCCAAAAGGGAGACAAAAATAATAGGCTGTCATTCAACAAAATATAACGTTTTTAAACTGGCAGAGTGCAAATCTCTGCTAAATGTGATGAGGCACGAACTCGTGCAGTGATAAAACGCATGCCGCGTCCTGTGTGTTTACAGTGCTCAATGTGCCTGGGCTTGCACAGGATTGTGGGTGTGAGGCTTTGAGCTACTGCAAATTATTATCTTTAGTAGGTAGAGACCCAGCAGGAGATGTGTAGTTGTTTGTGGTTGTGCTGTATAACTCCTTGATGTGTGTCCAGCTTGTACTGCATGTTGTTCCACGTATCGGAGAGCCATACAACTACAGACCCTTTATTTTTCAAACTTCCTGCCATTGTACCTAAACCGCGTAACTCAATTGTGCGTGACACATCTTCACAGCAATAATGTGATGAGCATTCTGCCACATTAATCGGAAAATCAAATATTCAGAAAATAAATATTAACGGAGTTATCTGTGCAATATAAAAAATCTTTTTAAAATGCCCCTACGATTAATTTCAGTTCTTAATCAGTTTTCACGAATATTGTTTTCGTCCCACCTCCGCAGATCTTCCCTGCCTGCACAGATCATAACCGTCTTAGAGATATGAATAAACATAACACAGCTCCTTATTGTTAGTCACTTGCGCGTACGCGTTCTACAATCAAATAAGGAAACATTTTATAGATATATATATATTTTTTAAACTATGCTCCCTCTGTCATCCGGCCTCAGCATTCCACTTTCGTACAAGCGGCATCTCCCGGTGAATTATTCGAAAGGTCTCTGTGATAATTGCCAGCAGTGCTCGGAAACAGGGTAGCCCTTTTATCCCTTCACATTCAACGGCTGGGGTGCCCTGCCTGACAGCCGGGCACACCCATCGTTGCCACGCGGTGCACCCTCACGGCTGGTGTTTTTTTTTGTTGTTGTTGCAACCAAGCATTGCGAAAGAAAGAGGGCGACATGTTTCCCACGAAGTTTACTTTGTTCAACCAGGCGAGAACTCGAGAGACCAGGATAAGTCTCATTTGCAAGACTGAGCTGGGTAACCAATAAATGACAAAAAAATATATATAATAAAAACAAGGAAAATAAATACATACTCAGAGCAGGGCAACCACAATTGCAGAAGAAGCGACGCACTCACCTTGCGTCAACGTGAGAAGACAGACGAGGCCCTCCGTGCGGAATCCCATCCTTGCACCGCCGCAGCTAATTGTCAATTCAGGGCACGTTGCCGAACTGCCCCCAAGTGAAAAGGACCCCGGCAACAAGGAAATAAGTGACCGGGATCAAATATATATTAACTTCTGTTGCTCGACACTGCCTTCCCTGCAAATCACTTGTGAGCTGGAGCATGCACGCCTTTGTGGAAATGCCTGGCGGATGTGGAGGGGAGAGGCGTGGGAGTGAGCAAATGGTGGCAACTACATAAGCCGTAGTGACAAGAAGGATCAAATAAAGTGAATAGGGGAAGTTTTGTGAACAAGTGTGCGGCAGAGCTCCTCCCACAGTGCAGAGGAGGAGGAGGAGTGAGGCTTCTGCTGGCTGGTGTAACCAGCAGGATAAGCACTGCCCATCACCGGGCAAAATCTGCCTAAGTTACCCTACAGCAACCTCTGTGGCTTTTGTGCAGTGAGTCAGAAGGCAAGCATTTGGAGTACCGTAGTTTGTTGTGCAATGACTTGTACTTAGTTGTTTTTTTCTCTCAGGGGTAAAACATAAAGGCACATCCCTGCAATTGTTTCCTCATGCCGCTGCTGGTGGATGGGCCTCCAAAAGACGGAGCTCTGTAGAGCCCTCTCTAGAGGGTGTTTTGGCCTCCTCTTCCGCTCAGGGCCAGACGACTCGAAAGAGAGCTGAGAGTACCCATACTTTATACCACCCCACAGGGGCCGTCCATAAATGACGTCACGCGATTTTGGCCGATTTCTGACCACCCCCCTCGTCACACATCGTCACAAATGTCTGACCCCTCCCCCCCCCCCTAGGTGCGTGACGTCATTTATGGACGGCCCCTCACGACCTACCGCATAGAATGTGGAGTACCCAGTAATACTGATGGGTGGACAGCAGCGGGGATATTTAAGAAACGAGACTAATTGTACGTCTCCAAATAACTATTTAAAACACACATTGCAAGCCACCTGCAGGAATATTAGTTTGACAGAGAAGACGAAACTCATTAAACGGCAGTCATGTACGAACTGTGTTACATTTACAGCCCTTGTGTAAATCTCCCTGCTGGATGAGGGCCATCCATCTCCATGTAACTCGTTGGGATTACTTGACCATACTTCACCACGTTGGTCATTGTGGGGTTGTGATGTACGAACCCAGTAGAATCGGTTCAGATGTCACGTGCTACTGGCGTTAGGTGTGGCCAGGAATCAAAATCACGCGGTGGGGTACACAGAGCTATGGGGCCGTCCATAAATGACGTCACGCACCTCGGGGGGGGAGGGGGGTCAGACATTTGTGACGATGTGTGACGAAGGGGGGGGGGGGGGTTGAGAAATGTGACGTCACATCAAAATGCGCAATTTTAAATAAATATAGACAACACCTTCTACTTATTCATATTCTTGGTTCTTTCGGTAAAGTCACGTTGAAGGGAAACAATAAAATAATAAAAGATATATACAATAAAAAATATATATTGTTCTATAAAATAATTAAATATATAAACAATAAAAATGTATTGCTTTATATATTTTTTATTATTTTATTGCTTCCCTTCAACGTGACTTTACCGAAAGAACCAAGAATATGAATCACTTCAGTCACAAAAGCTTTAAATCTAAATTAAAACCTTCTACTTAATTAAATTGACTTTTTAATAAATGTTTTCTCCTACAACATCAGTGTGCAGCGGCACATTAAATACGCACTACAATGACAATAGTTTAAAGCGATTTGAAGCGTGTTTAATTTTTTTTGGGGGGGGGGGGGGCAGAGCTTTGTGACGTCATATTTGATGGGGGGGTCTGACTTTTTGTGACGCCGTGTGACGAAGGGGGGGGGGGGTCAAAAATCGTCCAAAATCGCGTGACGTCATTTATGGACGGTCCCTAACCACTGCGCCACCGCTCCCCCCCCCCTTTGAAAGTACAGCTTTACCCCGACTTACGTCTCCCCCTTTTAACATCGTTTCACAAATGCGTCGTCTCTTTATTAACACCACAACCTTCATTGCGTCGCCTCAGCCCAAACCCACGTCGCAGACAGCATCATCATCCTCACTCTCTCGTATCCGTCACCTCGGCCTTCAGCTCCACCTGCCACGCAAATTGCTTCGATTCACGCCGTTTCGATATTCGCTGCACCTTTGAGGAACGCATCACCGACGTATACCGGGGTATTGCTGTTTTGTAAAACTACAAGAATAGTCTTACAGTGAGGGGACATGTCCGTTAATGAGCATCTATTTAAGAGGGCCTCGCAACACGTTCCGGCTGGTGGGACCAACAACACACACCGCCATCTGTGTCTCCCCCAACGCTGATGTTCACAGGCTGCGCTCGCTAATAATCTCAGCCTGTGCCAATGCAGTTAGAGGTCCCTGTCTAAGTTCAGATGTCAATTGCCAGCGATGATCATGGCTAGGTTATTGAACCCGCGATTCCCATGGCAGCGGGGTCGGAGCGTCGCTTGCCAACCACTGCATCACCGCTCACACATGTGTGCATAAGTGCACGCACACGCATGCACGCACACGGGCAGAAGATACGAGTGTGCTGTCTCCACACATTAGGCACGTAACAGTTCACCCAAATCCCCGGCTTGCCCCGCGGATTCAATGAATTGTTATGATTCAGGGTCGCAATTCAATAAAATAACGTATTCTTTTTGTCTCGTTTTTGCCACCCTGTTAAGTTTCTCGTGCTCAGTTTTGACCACCCCCCCTCTCAGATCATTAACCTAACAGTAAACATGAGCATACCAATTGCAATCATTAACCGTACAAAAAAGAATCGATTTTCACACCTTGAATTTGAGGCGCGTTGCGTGCGCCTAAGAACCGATTTTAATCGACGAGCAGGTACGTACCTGGCACTCGTCACTTAAGCATAGACCCCAGGCAATGTGGAACATTGGGCCAACGTCGGGCCAATGTTGGCCCAACGGTTCCAAAGGCAGAGCGACATTGGCCCAACATTGGCATGTTTACACGGGAGACTGCCGCGTGGATGGGCCACGCTCAAACGATGCACGAAAAGGGAGTGGGGGTGAAAAAAAAATCGGCGATCGCCCGGCGATTTGTATGTAGCAACGTGGGAACAACAGCGACTGCGGATAACTTATAATAATCGGGTTTTCCAGCCTTTTTTCTGGCAACAAAACTGAAAAAAGGGGAAAAACCCTATTATTATATTTTGGTACTGGCAAAGGAGTTCTAATGATGCGGATAACTTCAACAAATGATAACGCGCCAACCCCCCCCAACCCACAAGCCGCACAGCCTGCGCCAAGGACAATGGGAGCCACTGTGGTGCACTGGCGTCAGATGAACCATGCACGGGCCGGCAGCTCTCCCGGCCCCCAAGCCGTCGTTCCGCCCGCGCCCCTTAGCAACGGAGTGGGCGGGCAGGCCGCGCCGCTCTCGCCAAAACACCCACCCAAACCCAAGAAAAAAATCAATACTCGGTCGTTTGTGCAGCATGCAACAAGAACAAAAAACCATCATCAGTTTCCGGGGGGGGGGGGGGGTGGTGAAATTCACCGGGTCGTTTTGTATTCGGTCACCATAAATTTGAGCAAATGTGACATGACTTGATGGCATCAGGGATGCAGTGATAAGGCAACCGTGGGCAGGTTATATTTTTGTTCTTGTTAGGGTAAAACCGGTCCACAGTTGTGTACGTGTGCTCAGATTTATTTTTGATGGTGACTTGAGACAAGAGGGCCACAATGCAAGAAGACTGAATGCTTTTTGGTGTGATCTTTGAAAGTTGTGGTTTTCCAGCCTGCACTATTTTTCCGTTATGTGTGTATCTTGAACTTCTTTCGCACCGTATATTGAGTGTTCTTCTCGTTTACAAACATCGCCAAACTTTGCACGTGAGAAGAAACAAAACAGCTCTACAATGGCACGACATTTCATGATATTGCATCTCATACCCAAGATTTCTGGCATCGATAGCAAGAAAATAAGTCAGTGCAGTCCACGTGAATATAACACATCGATAAATGTGGGGAAATAAATGTTTTATAATCCATAAGAGAGGTGTTTTGGGTTAGATCACGTAAATAAATATTCACGTAAATATTTTAAACGTGATCTAACGTAAATATATATTTATATATTATGTGATCTAACCTAAAACCCCCTCTATTATGGATGATATTGGTCGCGAAAGCCAACGTGTTAAACGGATGTTTTATTATATCCACGCGCCGTGCCTAAACGCGTAGACGGCACCCGATTTAAAAGGAGAGAGTAGCTCGAACTTTGAGCTCATCATACTGTACCTCTGTTTACATCGAATGTCAAAAAACTCTGAGATAGAAGAGGCTGAAGCGGTTTGGTCGTGTCGCGAGGATGGGAAGGGAGCAGAGTGGGGGGGGGGGGGTATGGAATGGGCATCGTCTGTAAGAAGGGTGATAGGAGGACCAGAGAGACAATGCGAGATCACTACTGAAGATGACCCGCTTGCTGATGGAACCAGCTGCACTGACACAAAGATCACAGAATCGGACAAAATGCATGAACTGCGTCGTCTTTTTTCACCAACAGGCGTAGGGGCTGCCATGTTAAGTTCAGCAAGTGCCTTCGATGTATTTCCGTTTTACTTGTTCACTGTGAGAACATTCCTCAGATCATACCCCTGCTCCACACAGATCAGCTGCAAAGGGAGCAAGTCAAATGCTCAATAAAAGCTGTGGTCCTGTTGCAGACCATCGAAAGTTATCCAACAGCCCAAAAATTACCTGGTATTCCACAGTTCCAGTCTTTGTCAGAGTCCATGTCTCACAAGTCACAGCTGGTAATATGCATTAAATTATAACTTTATTATTCTTGGTTCTTTCGGTCAAGTCACGTTGAAGGGAAATAATAAAATATATATAAAACAATAAAATTCTCACGACGTTTCGACTGCAACACAAACAGTCATCATCAGGTGTGAAAACCAACGGCAAGAAACATTTGAAAGAAGTGGCGGTTTGTATTTATTTATAAACGTTAGCACCACGGATAGCGATTTGACAGTTTGTTTAGATGGATGAGTCCATCTATGTTCGGAAAAGAGGAGGGGGGAGACGAAAAATGTATGTATGCTGTCTGAAAGCCACCATAAGCGTGAACAATCAATTAAGACCCGAAATGGTTTATCAAATCCTTCCAATGATTGCTAAGCCAGAATCCATCTTCTCGGTTGAAATTGTCTCTGTGTTTGTATATGTGGATAGCCTCATGAACGAATCTCTCATGGTAGCCAGATGGCTTGCAATGAACCTCTGTCTTGGAGAAGTCAATGTCATGTGAGCCTACTGAATTATAACAGTGATCTGCTACGGCCGAGGTGTTGGTCCTACCGTGTTTAAGGTCTGCTTTGTGTTCACGAATGCGGTCCGAGACATGTCGTTTGGTTTCTCCAATGTAACTACTACCACAGAGGCAACTTAGTTTGTAGACACCAGGGTACCGTATGTCCGGAATTACATCTTTTACAGATGGAACCAGATCACGGATTTTATGTAATGTGTTGAAACGGACCTGGATCTTGTATTTATTCAAGATTTTGGAGATCTTTTTTTGTGATCCCCGCAATGTAGGGTAAAGTAATGGTTTTGAAAGACTCCTCAAGAGGGTCCTTCTTCATTGTTTGAGTGATAGCTTTGCGGATT